GCAGAGACCTGATGAAGTTGGCCATGCTGGATGCCAGCAAGCTTGTCCAGGGAAACAACAATATCAAAATCGTGATGCAGGTAAGTAAGTCCTGCTGCCTGTTTGCAAGGTCAGTTATTCTTTCTTACTCTACGTATCCTCCAGGTTCATGACGAGCTAGTGCTAGAAGTCCCGGAAGAGGACGTATTCAAAGTCTATAAAGCGGTCAAGCAGATGATGGAGAAGGTTGCATGCTTGGATGTTCCGCTGGTAGTGAATGTCAGGGCAGGGAATCGCTTCGGAAGCTTGCGTGCCATAGAAGAGTAGTATGCAGTGTATTCTGTAGACATTCAGAATATGATTAGTGGTTCTGAGGTACATGATGCAATTAACATGAGTGTACATTCATTACTTCTGTGATTGCCTGTTGCTGCACAAGACCTCACACATTGGTACCGTATGCCCTACCAAAGAAATGTTATAGAAGTGGTATATATATAGAATACACATATTTTGGTACTTCAGTGTTCTAAAGTTATCCAACTGAAATTGATGGATTTTCTTTGTTTTTGGCGCTGCTCCGTGACGGGTCACATGCTGCTTGAACACGTCGGCTGTTGGTCTTGATTGGACAAGCCACCTCACCTTGGGGAGGTTGTGGAATTTGGAAGACTGCCTACCCACTGCCCAGGTCAGACCAGTACCATACCAAACTGGCTCCACGTTAGCCACGCTCTAGATGTAGGCCTGAACGCGCACCGCCAGGGTTCCGTTTCCTTCTGGTTCGCGTTTACAGGGCTGCGCGGCTTTGAGGGGTAACCGAACCCACGCATCAACTTTCGGTTTGCGGGCTCGTCAAACTGGATGCATATGTCGGTCAGGCCTCGAGTTATTCGCGTTCCATGAATCTCCAGCCACTCACGGGCCTTCCCTCCCAATTTTGGGCATAAAAAAACTTCCACAAATCGCGTTCCAAGACCTAACCGATGTCTGTGACCAATGAGGCTTACAGCTTGTTCGCTGCCCCAAATCGCGTGTTTGCTATGCGCGTTCCGTTATTGACAGTAGCAGCTGCTGCTGCTGATTCGCCGCACCGTCATCACCGGCCTCCCGCCATCGGCGCTGTGCGTTTCGTCCATCCCTCGCCCATCCGACCCCACCCGAAAAGAACAAAACGGGGCGAAACAAAGAAACGCGTTCCGCTTCGTTTGACATTATTCTGCACTGCAGACAAGCAACGAGACGTTCAGAGTTGGAGGTCAAGCAATTCACGAGATTTATCCGCAAGCGCAATTCAGAACTGCTATTCGGGCTCGATTGTGGCCTTCTATTATTCTGCATAGGCCTGTCTCCGTTTTTTCGCTGCACACAGAACAGACTCACGACGAACCACTCACCATGGGCTGCAAACGAGTGTCGGTCGTTCATCCTGAGAATCTGCCAACAATGAAGCGAGCGCGAAATGAAAAGGCCACTACTCCTGCACCCAATCCTCCTTCATTCGAAAACCTTCCAGTATGTTTCCCTGTAGACCCTCCTCACTGCTTTCGTCTCGTCCAGCGCTCTTTTTTCTGCATGTGTCTTGATTCCTTCTTCCAAGGAAATGTCATTATCGCTGCATTTCTGCAAGCTCACCCCCTTCTACCGACATCTGTCCCCTTGCTTCCCTCTCCGCTCAGGATGAACTCCTCGCGACCATTCTCTCAATGGTCACCGCACGCGCCTCAACTCCCCAAGACTTCCTTTCCTGTCGCCTCGCTTCCTCCCACCTTCGCCGCATCTCTCTTCTCCCAGAAATCCTCGCCGTGTTACCATCTCCCGCTCTCGCTTGCCCGGCGAAACACTACACGCTCGCCTATCGCTCGTTCCTGTCGGCATGCGCAGCGGCGGGAAACGCGGAGGCTGCATTTATCCTCGGTATGGCCGAGTTTTACTGCTTGGAGAGGGTAGCTAGCGGTATGAAGCGGCTTGTGCAAGCGGCAAAGGCGGGCCACGCAGCCGCGTTACACAGCTTGTCAATCATCCATTTCAACGGTAGCGGATTGCCTACAAGCGGAGCGGAGGGAAGTGGTGCAGCAGAGGGAGGTGGCGCAGCGGAGGGGGACGCAGGAAGGCGGAAGCTGCGCGGGAACCGTAAGGTCGGAATGGGGATGTTGCTGTGTGTGGCGGCGGCTAAAGCGGGTCATCCCGATGCGCTGCGGGAACTAGGGCTGTGTCTGCAGGATGGGTTTGGAATCAAGCGGAGCGTCGCCCAGGGGAGGCTGCTTCTGGTGGAGGCGAACCTGCGGGAGCTGGCTAATAGCGGGGATAGCTTGGTGTCAGCAATGGGTGGGGTCTCATGTTCAGAAGTCGAAAACGTAAAAATTAAGACCGGGAATGTGAGAAAGAAACAGGAGCGGACTGTACTAGAGAGCAGTGCTCAAGATGGAGTAGGCGTTAGGGACTCTGATTGTGGAGAAGCCGAAGTAGCAAGAACGCTGGGAAGGTCTAACCTCCAAAGCGCGAACCTGTCACTCGGAACGGATGCAGCAGCCATGGAAACCCTACTTCAGCATACCACTCGCTTGCTGTCAAGAGCTGGCCGTGCGACTGCAAGGCGTGTGACTGTAACGGAAGGAGAGAAGCACGAGGCGTTGGAAATTACTGACGAGGAGAGGCTGCTAGCTCGAGCCGTCTTGGCGGATGGCGGAATCTTCGGCTGCTGCACGAGCGAAGAGAAAAGCGTCCAGTTGGATCCTCCACCGATTCCGCCTGCGAATCAATTTCTCGTGGAATGGATGGCATTGCATGGACAGCGATTTCTGGAGAGTGGGAGGCATGTGTGCGGTAACGCGCGGTGTGGAAGGGTTGAGATGCGAAAAGGAGAGTTTCGTTGCTGTGCTGCGTGCGAGGGGGCTCGCTACTGCTCGCGCGCCTGCCAAGTGGTGGACTGGCGGGTCGGACATGCGGTCGCCTGCCAGCCCTGCAGCCGAGACTAGATCAATCTACTAACATAACCCTAGGTTGATGTCCTACTAACATTACTATATATTTACTCGATATACTGAATGTGCGCGAATGATGTATAGCACAGTTCTCTGGTAGGTTTAGGTCTGATTACCTGAAGGGTACTCATTGCTCCTTCGGCTTTGGCGGGACCCATATCATATGTACTCCTGATTGCGGTTCCGTGCGTTCTAATGCAATTTGTTGGAAACGTAGGAACGGCTGAGTAGGATTTTGAACGTAAACGAAAGTGGACCCGAGCTAATCCTTGGTTACCCGACTCGCTTCCCTTGCGGTTTCACCCTCGCGAGTCGCGACCTGATTTTTGGTAGCTCAGGTATCTCCACGTCAGTTTGGCGGTGTGGCGAGCATTAGCGAGAAAGATTTTGTTTCGTCGTGCTGGTAACAGCGGGAATCCCAGCGAAATTGAAAGGCGACCAACCTCGAAGATCGTAGTCCAGAGGGTCAGAACATATATCACACGGCAGCATTATCAGTCTCAGGAATTTCTTGGATTCGTCAGGACTAGACGGACAGCAGTGAAGGCGACTTCGCCAGGCTTTTGCGGCCCGCTTGCAATAGCAACGCCGCATTGAATAAGTCCTTATTTTCCGAAGTGCGTCGCGCACTGTCGTCATGTCTCACGGTAAGTTGTAGTGATTCGTATGCGCCTGTTTACTTCCACATTCTTCCACTTCCGCCAGCAACCTACGATGAGATATCGCTATCATGGCTTATTTCTCACAACACTGACGCGTCACGGAACATTCGTGGCTGTCTTTCTAATGTCTCTCGCTCCCTAACGTCCAGATCCAAGGTACCCTTACGATTATCCCCCACCAGCCGGCTACCCGCCACCAGCCGGCTACCCACCGGCACCCTACCCTCCCGCACCCGGATATCCACCCCCTCCTGCCGGCTACCCGCCGCCTCCTGCCGGTTATCCGCCTCCACCGGGCTACTACCCGCCGCCGGCGGCAGGCTACCACCACCCGCCAACCCCGCACTACCACCACCCGCCACCCCCGCACTACCACCGTGAGATGATGAGATCTTACATTCTATGCTGCGTGACCTCTTATTTTGTTAGGTCAATTTTCAAATGCTGTTCGCCTAGATCCTTCCCTCCCGTTTTCACGCTTCTTTTGCACAAGATTGTTTCTGCGGTATATGCCTGTTCTTTAATAGATATGTATATGTTCTGCTTCGTGCTGCCTGTGTAACTGTGTTACACTGACAGATGGCGCGGTGGCCCATCACAGCATCGGCCATGCCTTGGCTCATGGCGTAGCGCACACCATGCATCTCTTTGGAAAGAGGAAGCACAAGGGTCACTTTGGATATGGGAAACACAAGGGGTACCACCACCACCACTACGGCCACCACCAACACCACCACGGTCACCACGGCCATCACTATGGAAAGTGGAAGGTACGGTCGTTGGGGCTTTGCTGCTGGCGTTGATCGTTGAGTCCACTGCAAGCAACCATTCTTCAATGGTTCTTGTGCATGCAGCCAACGTCCATGAAGGTGTTCAACGTGCTGTCGGAGTTGCTGTGTCAGCCCATTCCATCTTTGCCTTACCCCTCTTTTCCCCTTTTTCTGTTTCAATTGTTGCCCTGCACACTGCCCTTTCCCTATGCCACGTTTTTTGGCAGTAACTATTAAGGAGATGTGCAGATACCAGAACAGCATGAGCGGTACATGGCTGTGTGTGGAACCAGCTTGTGGTCTCTGCCTTTCTCTAGTCTCCCTCCTTGCTTATGTACAGAAGCGTTCAAGCTTACCGTATGTATACACTCAGGAGAGATGTGCAGTAGATATTTCTGTATCTCTTGTCAACTTTCGGCGTAACCAGTTCGCTACACCTGCAGTATCCACTTGAAGCCAGTGCCATCTAAGCAGAGCCTTGCTCAACTATTCTCGAAATAATGAATGAGCCAAACATGCAAGTTCAGTGCAACAGCCAAACAAGTCAATATCCAGTCATTTTGAACCCCGAGAGCACATGATGGTTACTGTATGAACTACCACCATTACTCTGATCTACGCGTGTGCAAGGTGTCGTGGTGTGTGGGAAGGAGCGGAGTGTGCGGTCGCTTGCGACAGCGGTAGCAGCGGCACATGATGACGAGGATGAGCAACACCCACAGCAGCGGCACAGACCACCTGATGTGAATGCAGCACAAGAGGAGCAGACAATGAGAAACAAGAGGGGGAATTGAAGGGCTGGCAGGTTCGCAAGCCTTGCTATAGCTTAGAGGGCCTGAGGAACTCACAGGTCGAGGTCGATAAAGGGGTTGTAGACAACGGCCTCCCAGGTGTTGACAAAGGTTAGCCAGCCGCCCAGCCCAATCATGAAAACTCGGACAAAGATGCACACAGGTCTGGCAGAAACTCACAGGTCGAGGTCGATAAAGGGGTTGTACACAACGGCCTCCCAGACGTTGACAAGTGAGAGTATTAGAAAGCAGGCAGCACCCAGAGCCTAAAGAGAACGCACAGGTCTCAGAGAGGGTAGCAGGGGACTCACAAATCGAGGTCGATAAAGGGGTTGTATACGACGGCCTCCCAGACGTTGACAAAGGTGCGCCAGGCGGGGTTGAGGTAGAGTGAGTCAAAGGACCAGAAGATGCGCGTGTAGGTCTCCAGGAACACAAAGAGCGCCCAGGCGAGCACCTCCACGACGACCCACTTCACCACGAAGCGGCCGATGACTACGAGCACGAGCGAGCCGATGACCAGCCAGTTGAAGAGCCGCTGGTTGTACTCCTTTAGGAACTGGGACCGCTCCCGAGTCCAGGTCTGGTGAACGGGGCAGGGGAGCGGGGGGTGGTGGTTGTGTCGGGGAAAGGGGAGGTGCGGAGAGGGTGTGCTAGCGAGTAGGGCAGTTGAAATGGAGCTGGTTGGTGGTACTTCTTGGGAGCTGAAACTGATCTCGATTCCACGTCTGGTGAGAAGCAGGGAAGGAAAAAACAATAGGCTTGGGTTTAAAAGGGGAATGGGATGTGGCCACTTCCCATACGGCACCTCCACCACCACCCAATTTTTGAGTTGACTAAAAAATTAACTCATCACACTTTCCGTACGGAACCTCCACCACCACCCACTTCACCATGAAGGGAACCACGACAACAAGCGAAAAGCCGCCAAGCATTTGACTACATAGTATGCCACTTTACTCTCTGTTTGCACCCTCCTCCCGCCCCCTCACCTTCTTCAGCCGGTCTCGGTAAGCCGATTTGCTCGGCCCCCGACAAGCATGCTCGACCGTGTGGTTGCATGCTTCCAGGCGGGCATAAAATTTGGCCACTGATGGCAGGCGCATGTTGGCGAGAGCGTCTAACTCCCCTCGTCACCTCCTCCTCACCAGCAACAGCTTGAGCTTTTGAAGGGGCTTCTTCTCACCCACTTTTCTCCCTCTTTTCGCCCTCTTGATCTTGTCACCCTCTTCCCGCCCTCTCACCTTCTTCAACCGGTCTCGGTAGGCGGATTTACTCGGGCCGCGGCAAGCATGTTCGACAGTGTGGTTGCATGCTTCCAGGCGCGCATCAAACTTGGCCACCGAGGGCAGGCGCATGTTGGCTAGAGCGCCCAGCTCCTCTCCTCGACTACTACTTCAGTCCAAGTGATAACCCCACTCCCAGCCCCTCTCACCTTCTTGAGCCGGTCCCTGTAGGCAGATTTGCTGGGTCCGCGGCAGGCATGTTCGACCGTGTGGTTGCATGCTTCCAGGCGGGCATCGAACTTGGCCACCAATGGCAGGCACATGTTGGCGAGAGCGTCTAACTCCCCTCGTCACCTCCTCCTCACCAGCAACAGCTTGAGCTTTTGACTGGGCTTCTTCTCACCCACTTTTCTCCCTCTTTTCGCCCTCTTGATCTTGTCACCCTCTTCCCGCCCTCTCACCTTCTTCAACCGGTCTCGGTAGGCGGATTTACTCGGGCCGCGGCAAGCATGTTCGACAGTGTGGTTGCATGCTTCCAGGCGCGCATCAAACTTGGCCACCGAGGGCAGGCGCATGTTGGCTAGAGCGTCTAACTCCTCCTCACACCCCCTGTGCGCGCCCTCACACGCCTTGGCTGACGCAAACTCGTTCTCCCGCTTCAGCTTCACCAGCTCCTGTGAGGGAGAGAGGGAGGGGAGTGATGACGGCGACGGGGTGAATGGGATGATCGCACCGTGTTTTCTAGACTTCTTAAAAACACCCTTCGCATGCATGCCCAGGGGCCCAGACACATTGACACAAACACATAGACACACGCAGACCCACACACAAACACACCCCTCACCTCGCGCAGCTCATCCTTCAGGGGTCGGACGGCAATATTGGTCGGACGGCAATATTGGTCGGACGGCATCCTTCAGGGGTCCGACTTTTGAGAATTCTCAAGGGTCGGACGGCATCCTCCACGCTCTTCCCTCCAGACCGCTCTCTCTCAAACACTGCCACCAGAGCCACTTCCCACGTACCTTTTAGGGAAACACATGCAGGCGCGCGCTCGCACCCCCACACACACACAAACCCACAACCCCCTCACCTCTCTCAGCTCGTCCTTCAGGGGTCGGATGGCATCCTCCACGCTCTTCCCTCCAAACCTCTCCCTCTCAAACGTCGCCACTGGCGTTGCGATGAGCCGTCAGCAGCAGCGCCTCCTCGGCTGGCAGGAAGGGCAGCAGGCGGCTCATAACAAGCCGCACACATGTCAACACACACACACGCTCACACGCTCACACGCTCACACGCTCACACGCACCCATGCACCCATGCACAAACACACAGCCACACCCCACCTCGCGCAGCTCGTCCTTCAGGGGCCGAACAGCATCCTCCACGCTCTTCCCGCCAAACCGCTCCCTCTCAAACGCCGCCACGGCGTCGCCACTGGCGTTGCGATGAGCTGCTACAAGCGTCGCCTCCTCTGCTGGCAGGAAGGGCAGCAGGCGGCTCATGGCGTCGTGGTAGAGCACGAGGCACTTGTCTTGCACTGCGCGGTTGAATGCATCGACGACTGAGCCGGCTGTTGGAATGTGGCCCTTGTTGAGGGCGTTCAGAGTCTGGGGGAAGGGGAGGGAGGGGGGGGTGGACAGGGAGAGCGAGGAGCGGGAGTTGAGAGCATAGAACGAGGAGAGGCCATGAGTAGGAGTTGGCGGAACGAGAGCAGCAAGGGCAGCAGCACCGCCTCCTCTGCTGGCAGGAAGGGCAGCAGGCGGCTCATGGCATCGTGGTAGAGCGCGAGGCACTTGTCTTGTACTGCCCGGTTGAATGCATCGACCACGGAGCCGGCTGTTGGGATGTGCCCCTTGTTGAGTGCGTTGGGGAGGGAGGGGGGGTGGTAGAGGGCGAGGCATTTGTCTTGCACTGCCCGGTTGAATGCATCCACGACCGAGCCGGCTGTCGGGACCGGCCTGCCCGAAACGACCTTGGGCTGCACCAGCGATGCCACCAGCTGCCGCAGCTGCTTGCACTGGGAACCCCACCTTTTGCAGCAGATCAACGAGTTCCTCCCTACTGACCATCTCACCAACTCACCTTCTCTAGCAGGTCAGCAAACTCCTCCCCGGTGACAGGCCTGCCCGACACGATCTTGGGCTGCACCAGCGATGCCACGAGCTGCCGCAGCTGGTTGTGTGCACTGAGAGCCTCACCTTCCCTAACAGGTCAGCAAACGCTTCCCCAGTGATAGGCCTCAAGCGAAGCTTACCTTTTCCAGGAGATCTGCAAACTCCTCCCCGGTGACCGGCCTGCCTGAAACGATCTTGGGCTGCACCAGCGACGCCACCAGCTGCCGCAGCTGGTTGCGCTGGCGCACGTACTTGGGGTCTAGCTCCTCATCTGATAGCTCACACAGATGTGTTCTTGCGAGGTGCGGCTGAGGGAGGCAGGGGAGTTGGTTGGGGGATGGGGGAAAGGAATGGCAGCACTTGAGTCAGCTGGTTGCGCTGGCGCACGTACTTGGGGTCCAGCTCGTCATCAGACAGTTCACAGTGCCGCGTTCGTGCCAGATGTGGCTGGTGGATGGGGTGGGGGTGGATGAAGGAAAGATAAAATGGAATGGCAGCAGCGCCGCAGCTGGTTGCGCTGGCGCACATATTTAGGATCCAGCTCCTCATCTGACAGCTCGCATAGATGGGTTCTCGCCAGGTGAGGCTGTTGGCAGGGGGGAAAAAGAGGGGGGAGGATGGAGGAGAAGATGAGTAGTGGCAATACTTTCTGCAGCTGGTTGCGCTGGCGCACGTACTTGGGGTCCAGCTCATCGTCTGAGAGCTCGCACAGATGGGTTCTCGCCAGGTGCGGCTGGTGTTGGTTGGGGTACGGAGGGAAGGAATGGCAGAATGTAAGGGACTGGTTGCGCTGGCGCACGTACTTGGGGTCCAGCTCGTCATCTGATAGCTCAAACAGATGGGTTCTCGCCAGGTGTGGCTGGTGGAAGGGGGGTGGATGAGGGGAGATAAGGCCGGAATGCCATCTGGCGCACGTACTTGGGATCCAGCTCGTCATCTCACAGCTTGCACAGTCGCGCTCTTGCCAGATGCGGCTGGAGGGAGGGGGATGGGAGGGGGGATGGAGGGAAGATATGGCAGCCATTGAGGGGGCTGGTTGCATTGGCGCACGTACTTGGGGTCCAGCTCGTCATCTGAGAGCTCGCACAGCCGCGCTCTCGCCAGGTGTGGCTGGTGGATGGGGGATGAGAGGGGAAGGTGGGGAGCAATGGTGAGAGGAGGATGAAGAGAAGGAGTGGCAGCACTCGCTGCTGCTGAGCTGAGTGCGCTGGCTGCATGTTTCCAGCGTGTGGTTTGAGACGGGGGGTTGAATGAAGGAGGGGAACAGTGGGGAGGAGAAAGAAGAGAAGAACGAGAGACAGAGAGAGTGGTAGAGAGAATAGTGGTTAGGGCGCTCACCTGAGTCAGCCCGAAGGCAGTGCAATTGGCGGCCATGAGGTTGAGTGACTGGCGGATGAGGTTCACTTGCTCCACATCCTTGTCAGTCGCTCACTCGCTCGCTCCCAGGGTAGGAAAGAGAGGCAGAGAGCGCGGAACACTTGCAAAGATGCACACACACGAGCCAAGCAGAGACAAGCTCACCTGAGTCAGCCCAAACGCGGTGCTGTTGGCGGCCATGAGGTTGAGTGACTGGCGGATGAGGTTCACTTGCTCCACATCCTTGTCAGTCGCTCACTCGCTCGCTCCCAGGGTAGGAAAGAGAGGCAGAGAGCGCGGAACACTTGCAAAGATGCACACACACGAGCCAAGCAGAGACAAGCTCACCTGAGTCAGCCCAAACGCGGTGCTGTTGGCGGCCATGAGGTTGAGTGACTGGCGGATGAGGTTCACTTGCTCCACATCCTTGTCAGTCGCTCACTCGCTCGCTCCCAGGGTAGGAAAGAGAGGCAGAGAGCGCGGAACACTTGCAAAGATGCACACACACGAGCCAAGCAGAGACAAGCTCACCTGAGTCAGCCCAAACGCGGTGCTGTTGGCGGCCATGAGGTTGAGTGACTGGCGGATGAGGTTCACTTGCTCCACATCCTTGTCAGTCGCTCACTCGCTCGCTCCCAGGGTAGGAAAGAGAGGCAGAGAGCGCGGAACACTTGCAAAGATGCACACACACGAGCCAAGCAGAGACAAGCTCACCTGAGTCAGCCCAAACGCGGTGCTGTTGGCGGCCATGAGGTTGAGTGACTGGCGGATGAGGTTCACTTGCTCCACGTCCTTGTCAGTCGCTCACTCGCTCGCTCCCAGGGTAGGAAAGAGAGGCAGAGAGCGCGGAACACTTGCAAAGATGCACACACACGAGCCAAGCAGAGACAAGCTCACCTGAGTCAGCCCAAACGCGGTGCTGTTGGCGGCCATGAGGTTGAGTGACTGGCGGATGAGGTTCACTTGCTCCACATCCTTGTCAGTCGCTCACTCGCTCGCTCCCAGGGTAGGAAAGAGAGGCAGAGAGCGCGGAACACTTGCAAAGATGCACACACACGAGCCAAGCAGAGACAAGCTCACCTGAGTCAGCCCAAACGCGGTGCTGTTGGCGGCCATGAGGTTGAGTGACTGGCGGATTAGGTTCACCTGCTCCACGTCCTTGTCCCCCTCTGGGTTTGGCACGGGTTGCAGTGCCCCTCGCACCATCTCCTGCACTGTCTTGCCCTCTGGTGGGGGGGGGGGGGGTGAGAGGTGCGGTGTGGGGGATACAGAAGCAGCGGGTTTGGCACCGGCTGCAGCGCCCCTCGCACCATCTCCTGCACCGTCTTGCCCTCTGGTGGAGGGGGGGTGGGGTGGGGTGGGGGGGGGGAGAGGAAAGGATAAGAAATGCGGGCCAACGCGGGGAGAGTAAGTAAGGTAATACGGAAGCAGCAGGTTCGGAACAGGTGGCAGTGCAGTGCCCCTCGAACTAGCTCCTGCACTGCCTTGCCCTCTGGTGCGGGGAAGATGGATGCGTGCGTGCAGCTTGCCAAAGTGGGGTGCGGGAATGCAGACACAGCTGGTAGGGCGTGATGAATGAACCGTTTACTGCAATGCAATGTGCAAATTCCCTTCCGGGGCATTGCAATGTAAATGGCCGAAGGGCATAGAGGTGACTTTTGAGTCGACTCAAAAGTCACCTCGCAATGTGCAGATTTCCTTCGGGGGCATTGCAATGTAAATGGCCGAAGGGCATTTGCGCACGCACACAAAAACACGCACCTAGGAAGTCTCGTTGGATGAGCCATAGGAGCTTCGCTGGTGTGTTTTGAGTCGACTCAAAACACACAGGGACGAGCAGCATCACAACCCCCCCCCCCCCCCCCCCCCCCCTTTTCTCACCCCCCCTCTCTCTCCCCCACCTTCCCCTCTCCTTCCCCCCCCACACGCACACACACACGCACCTAGGAAGTCTCGTTGGATGAGCCATAGGAGCTTCGCTGGTGTGAACACCTCATCTCGACCCTGCCGACACACAGGGAGGGGCACGAATGGAATTGGGAAAGAAACGCCCGCCAGATGAAAAGCCGTTACTCATGAAATCAAACGGAAAAAAAAGACAAAACAAACAGATAAAAGGCACTGGGTGGATGGGCGACCAGAAACTAGGGAGAATGAGTGGGAGGAAGGGGGGGGGGAAGGGGGGGTTAGGGTTGCGAAGTGGGAGAAAAGGGAGAGGGGGAATGCGGGTAGATGGGGAGCGTGGGGAGAGGGGAGCATCGGGAGATAAGAAGCATAAGAATATTATTTTTTGACACAGCAACCTCTTCAGCTCACGAAGGTAATGGGAAGGGGTGGGTGGGTGGGTGGGTGGGTGGGGAGAAGGGTTGGGTATAGCAAGCCAGAAAGAGGACAGGCAGCGGAGGAGAGGAGCATGTTGGGCAGGGGGGAGTGGAGTGGGGGGTTGGGTGGGGAAGATTAAATACCAGTACAATGCAGCGAAACAAGAAAAGCGGCTGCTCTCCTCTCCCCCTTTTCTTTCCACTTCCTTTCCCCTGACTTTTCCCTTTCTTTCCCCTCTCTTCCCTCTTTCTTCCCCATTACTTCCAACATTCTTCCAACTCTCTTCCACCTTCCTTACCCCTGTCTTCCACCTCACCTTTACTCTGTTGGTTGGTTGCAGCACGAATGCGCCCTCCCATGCCACACACACCCCATTGCCTCCTTCCGACACACACGCACGCACGCACACACACACACACACACGCACACACACACACGCGCGCACACACACACACACACACACACACGCACACACGCACACACACACACACACACACACACACACACACACACACACACACACACACACACACACACACACACACACACACACATTAGAGGAAAGGAAAACGGCTGAGCTCATCCCCGTCTTAAAACAGGAAAACAAACTATCTTTCACCACCCCACCCCACCTGCCCCGACTTTTTTCTCCTCCCCAGTCCCCCGCACCTGCACTTTTGCCTCTCCCCTTCCCCCTCCCCCCTTTCCCTCTCCCCACCCACCCCATCCCCCACCCGCCTTTCCCACCTGCCGTAAAACTCCTCTGCGAGTTCAACAGCAAAGGACAGCTTGGCTATATCCGCCTCCTTCACCTGTGCATGCAGCCACATGCATACATGCAGGCACATGCACACGTGCACACATGCATGATGCACAGCAACCGTGCACACATCCAAGCACACACACACACACACCAGGAAGTGTTGACACACAAACAGCAGGTCTGTGAGGGCAGTGGGAGTTGGATGCAGTGCAACAAGGAAATCCTATAACACCAGCAACTAAAATCGCCATGTTCACCATCTGACTCAGAATAGTGTGCGTCTGACTCAGCATAGCGTGCGTCTGACTCAGCATTGTGTGCATCTGACTCACCGTCTCTGCAAGGTTGTATATGAGCACTGAGCTGAGCACCGTGGCCAGGGCGAATATTCTGAGCCATGGGGAAAAGGGGGAAAGAAAGGATCAGCAAGGGGCGGAGGGTGAAGAGGTGGGCAGAGCGGGGCAGAGAGAGGCAGAGGCAGAGAGCGAGAGGAGAACGGTGGCCATTAAAATGGTCCGCTAACATGTGCTGGTGAGGCACGGTGCAGATGGGGGAGGAATGGAACGGGAGGGGATGTTGGGGGGGAGAAAGGAGGCGGAAGGAGGCAGGAGGTGCTTGGAGACGATAAGAGAATACACAACATTACGCACCTGTCACGCCCTGCACTCAACACCATGGAACACATGCAGCGCACACACCTGTCATCGTAGACAGAGGACTTGCCGACGCTCTCAAAGCCCTCGGTGTCAAGGAAGATCACCGATGTGGTCTGCCCGTTACTGCACCTGTCATCGTACCAAGTTACCAACACATGCAGCACGCACCTGTCATCATACACGGACGACTTGCCGACGCTCTCAAAGCCCTCGGTGTCAAGGAAGATCACCGATGTGGTCTGCCCGTTACTGCACCTGTCATCGTACCAAGTTACCAACACATGCAGCACGCACCTGTCATCATACACGGACGACTTGCCGACGCTCTCAAAGCCCTCGGTGTCAAGGAAGATCACCGATGTGGTCTGCCCGTTACTGCACCTGTCATCGTACCAAGTTACCAACACATGCAGCACGCACCTGTCATCATACACGGACGACTTGCCGACGCTCTCAAAGCCCTCGGTGTCCAGGAAGAGCACCGACGTGGTCTGCCCGTTCACCTGCATCTCCATGGGGTCGCCCCACACCCATATGCCTGCAAGCAAGTGCCAATTTCAAAAAGAATTTCAGCCGGTGACATGAAAATAATTCCACAAGGCGGAACAAAACAAATTCAAAGGGGTGATAGTTTTCATTAGGCAGAAAAAAATCCAGACGGTGAATTTTTTTTTTTTTTGATTGCCTCTCTCACTCACCTTTGGTCTTGGTGTCGCGTGCATGACCCACCCCGAACCCTGGGTGGACGAGTGCAAGCAAGGGGTGCGAGTGGGAGAGAGGCGATTGTAATAAAGAGAGAGATGGATGAAATGGAATGAGATGGCTTGATACGGAGCACCATGTGTCTTTTTTTTTTTCATTCGTTTTTTTTCTCCAATGTGTATGCCTTTTGAGGAACAGGCGACAGACAGGGTATACTACCTTCATCGCACGTGAGTGTAAGCAGTTGGTTGAGCAGAAACGATTTGCCTGATCGGTATGGTCCAATCACCTGATGGGATGGCAGATACACACGCATACACCAACGCAAACGCACATGGAAAATCAGGTAAGCATACAGGGTGACAGGAGGAATGGCATGGTGGCAAGCCAACAGTGGCAAGGCAAGCCTGCAATGGCAAGCAAACAATGGCAAGACATTAGACAAACGATGCCTCTGATGTGGCAGATGAAGGCAGATGAAGCAACCAATCACTTGCAGCAGGCACAGCAAAGGGAATAATTCGGAGCAATCAGGAGGAAGCAGGCAGGCAGGCAGGCGTACCGCTACAATGGCGATCGGATTCTTGATGCTTCGTATCACGTTCAGACCCTCCTGGGACACCTTAAGCTTGGTGTGCTTCGTGTCTGGCTGTATTACCGGGTACCTGCATAACACCACATTGAGTTCGGACATGGCATGGTATAGGGTCTTCACCAATGTCTCAATGTCCAGTATGCTACCACATGACATGTCACATGGCATAGTATGGCATGGCCATTGCACGTCAGGATGTCTCACATGACATGACATGTCGTAGTATGTCAGCATGTCTAGTATGCTATCAGACTAGATGACCTGGCATAGCACGTCAGAATGTCGAGAACGCTATCACAGGTCATAGCATGGGGACCGTGCAATGTGCGATGCCATGATATTGCACGGCATGGCATGTCCTCGGTAAAGTCAGTGCCTAGCCTTCCGTTCGAATCAAGCTGCTATCGGTAACCTCGATCAGAGATCCAACGGCCACCTCAACGCGTTCTTCCTGATCTGGCTGGCTCCAACAGCACATTCCAAATCACACCTGCCACCTGTCTCCGACTGAACCTGTTTCGGTTCCAAATTGCACACCTAACGCCATTATCTGACTTCTCTGAATTTTGAAACGGAGATGGTTCCGAGTCCTGACATGACATGGACCGCCTGGTTCGCTACCATGAGTCGTCAAATAACACAAGGAAATTAGCTAATTGCTATGATCATATGCTACCATAAACCAGCCAAACTTAGTACGGACCTCGAGGCAACTCTTAGCACGCACCTTTTGGCAACCAATAAAAAAGCTACTTCGTCCTAACGCCTTTCCGATACCTAAGGACCTCATACTTCTTCAAGCCGTCTACTTTCGTCCCAATAATGTGCTGCTTGAAAAGAAGCTACTTTTCAGGGAATCTCACTCGCTCTTCCTGCACGACTACTCACGCGCGACGATGCTTCGTGTCGCCGCCGCTTCGCCAAACTTCGCCATCGCCTGGTGTTCGTAAGTCGTCTGTGATTTCCGCATCCTGACCGGTGGCGACTCTAGAGGTTGAGGACAATAGTGTGAGTGTAACGAAAAGTAGCCTAACTAAAGCGCGGTGCGATGATCTGGCCATGACACCTTTGGGCACAACTGCTCGGCAGGTGGGAACTGACGATCCTGAAAATAAATTGTTAGAAAAGTTTTGGCTATGGACTAACAGCATGGGGATGTAGCTCAGATGGTAGAGCGCTCGCTTAGCATGCGAGAGGTATGGGGATCGATACCCCACTTCTCCAATTGTACTGCTTTCTTGCTTGGGACCATCATTTATGGCAACAATCCCACCCTGGGAGTTTCTAGCTCCATTATTGAAGATGACCAATTGGAAATGTACCTTCATTTTGCATAGGAACGCCATACGTTGTGTGTGATGCAAAGGTTTGTTTATGTACAACAAACAAAGATTCCCTTTACCGGTACCGGTATGTACCGTACAATGCAACTAAGAAGTTTCCTTCCCGACTGCGTACGATGAGGGTCATGTCACGGGTGCACTACTTTAGTTGAGATACCCTTGAAGGCAGCATCCTGCACTACAAATAAGAAAGATGGTTGCACACAAGCACGTGGAAACCGGATTAACAGGGCATAACACTTAAATCCTAGATGCCCAGAGACCGACATAAGCATGAGTTATTCCAGCCTGGAACAAGCACGTACCTCGTTCTCTCTCTACTGCCTCGGCCTTCGAGCCCGCTCATTCCAGCCCCGACTTAAAGCCCCACTTGACGCTTAGGTTGAAATGAGCTGAGTGCTCTGAGCTGTGCGATGGGAAGGCGGACTGCAGGGGTGATGGGAAGGAGGCTTGTGCTGCGGATGGGAATGGGGCTTGCTGGGGAAAGGGGGTTTGCTGAAAGAACGGAGTTTGCTGGGTGAACGGGTTTTGCTGGGAACTTGAGGTTTGCTGGAAGGGAATCTGCTGGAAGAAGGGAGATTGCTGGGTCGACGACGTTCCTTGCGGAAAGGGGGTGAAAGCAGCTAGTGGGAGGGGGCCTTGTGGGGTTGGTGAGAAGGACGCTGGTGGAGCTGTGGCCAAGCGAATATCCGGAGCTGCTGCAATGCTCGACTGAGGGCCTGTCAGAAAGGCTGTTGGGAAATTGGCATGTGGGTCTGCTGCGATAGGCGCAATGGAGGGAGATTGACTGGCGCCATAAGGCCAGGCATGGTGGCCTGGGGAGATGGTGCTTGCATGGGAGACTGGTGCAACGCTGGATTGCAGTTGAGGCGCGTGTAGAGAAGCTTGGATTGGCACTGGGGGGAGGATGGGCGATGATTGCGTCGGTGCTGGTGTGCACGGGAGGGATGTCAACGAGGGACCACCCAACATGTGGATTATCTCCTGCAGCAGAGCGGATCAAACAGAGGCATGTCAACCCAGACAGTTTAAACTGTGGTGTTAAATGTAAATTCAGCACTATAGCTCCTCTCACCTCCTTTGCCTGAAGGTACTTGCTCCAGTGCTTCGCTGCAGGTTCTTTCTCCCACCCTACCGGCCCTCCATGGTAAGCGCGCACCACAAACTCCTCACTACGTGCGCTGTTAGGAGGGGGGGAGAGATGGGGGAAGCAGGTACGTGGCGGGAATGTGGGCACAAGTAAGCGGACTGGGTTCACGCTATGCAAGAGCGCCTAGGAAGTACCGCCTGGTATAAAAAAAACATTGCCGTTGGCGCCGGCAACGGCGCGCAGTGGCGCTGTTGGCCCCGGTGGGACCCACAATTGGATTCAATTGAAGTGAGAATTTTACGCGTTACAGAGTTCCACTTGAATTGAACAAACTGCGATCGGCAAGAGTTTCTAGTAGGGAAGAATAGACAAGATGAGTGATCGGCTGCGATCACCTGGCGACTGCTACTCACGGCACCTGGTAAGCCCTAAGTTTCGCGGGCCTAGGAAAATTGCTGGGTGGGTGGTAAGAGGTTGGGGTTATGAAAATTGGCATGCACGACGCACCAGGTACTTTGAACTGAACTGAACTGACACGTGACCCGTCGCTTGGTTTCGCTTGTATTCGTTTGGTTTCATTTCAAACACCACTCGGTTAAATTGGGTTCAGTTCGGTTCGGAAGGTCTCCTCCAGTAATATCTTATTCGTTTGCAATGCATGCCTGCATGCATTCAAATCACATCACACCCCACAAATCCATCATGCCCGAGTCACCACCAATGGTCACATTTCTGTCCACCTTCCCATCCCCAGCCTGTCCCATTGCTGGAGCTAGAACCTGATTCCGAGCTACTCTCGTTTCCTCTCTTGACCCAACGAGGTCTTGGTTGTTTTCGGCCTCACGGACCGGCTGATCGCGGAGCTCGGGGTCACACGTCTCCCGGAGTTTAATCTCTTCTTGAGATTGCAGGCGCTAGTAAGAAGCCTTAGCACGTGGAGAGTATTTTGATCTAACCAAGTAACCAGTCAGCTCGCGATGGCGAGAAGAAGCGATCGCGCCGGCAACAGCAGGCTGCTATCGCTCCCCGACGAGCTCCTCCAAATCATTCTCGGCCTCGCAGATCACCCATCCGATCGCCGCAACGTCGCGCTTACCTGCCACCTCCTCCGCCGCCTCTCTCGGCGCACGCCGCACGCGCTCCGCCTCGATCTCTTCTCTTGGCCAAGGGTTACGAATCGGCGAAAATGGGTGAAAGCGTTTGACGATTATTCAATGGCATATTCCCACATAACGGATTTGACCTTGGAGATTCCTTCCGAGCTCGGGCATCAGCTCATGGCGGGGATTGCAGCGGGCTGCCCGAAACTGGAAAAACTGAAATGGGTCACGGATTGGGATAGCTTCAACGTCAACAGTCGAGCGTGGCGCGCACTCGTAACGCACTGCCCGTAAGTAAACTTTCCTGTTCCTCTCTTTTTCCTGAACTTTTTTTTACCCATTTTATCCATCCACATCCAGACATCCATGCATCCATGCGTGTCTATGCATCCATCCATCCATCCATCCATCCATCCATCCATCCATCCATCCATCCATCCATCCATCCATCCATCCATCCATCCATCCATCCATCCATCCATCCATCCATCCATCCATCCATCCATCCATCCATCCATCCATCCATCCATCCAACCGTCCGTCTATCTCCCGTGTCTTTGAATTGGTATTTTCCCTCCCTCTTCTTACTCGCCTTTCTACCCTCCGTCTTCAACCCTCCCTCTCTGCCGCTCCTCCTTCATCCCTCGCCCCTTCTCCCTTGGTTCAGGCTCTTTACCTTCCTGAACCTAAATTCACACTTAGTTCCCACGCCTCTTTCTTACACGCATCAGCTTCCTCTCCCCCTTCCTACACCTCCCCCCCTCACTGCCATCCCTCTCTCTCCTCTTCCTCCCTTTTCCTCCCCCCTTCCCCTTGGTTCAGGCTTCTAACTTCCCTGGAGCTCAACTCATGCTATCGGGGCTCGCGTCTCTGCTACGCAAGGGGGCCAGCGCGCCCGCCCCTGCACCTCCCCCCCTCACTGCAGTCCCTCTCTCTCCTCTACGTTCCCTCCGACTTTTTCTCGATTTCCCGATGCTCCTCCCTCACCTCTCTCACCCTCTGGAATCCCGAATCCTCCACTCTTTCCTCCCTCGCCGTCTCCTCCTCCTCCCTTGTCTCTTCCTCCTCCACCTCCTCCGCGCTTTCCTCCTTCCCCCCATCCCCTCTCCGCACATCTCTCACATCTCTCACAATCCACTCTGCCAAACTTGAGGGCTCCCTCGCTTTCTTCTCCCTCTTCCCCGCCCTCTCCTCCCTCTCCTTCCACTCCTGCTTCATCGACCCATACGAATTCCGCTCCCTCTCGCGCTCCCTCCACTCTCTCACCCACCTTTCAATCCACCTTACAATCCACTCCTGGCCACTCATTTCCTCCCACTCTCTCATCCCCATCCTCCAATCCAACCCTGCTCTTTCCTCCCTCTCCCTCCACGGCCCCACCTACCGTCTGTTCGGCGCACAGGGATTCCGATCTCTCCTCTCTCACTCCTCCTCCCAGCTCCACTCCCTCCACCTCGCCGGCCTCCCCTCCTTCCGCCCAGGTTTGCTTGCAGCATGCAATGCCCTGCGGTCGCTTAGTCTGGAACGGGTGGTCGATTGTGCCTCCCGGTCGCCACGCGCTGTATCATTGGACGGCCTAGTGGGTATGATCGTGCGAGTGGAACGGAGAGGAGGGGCAGGAGGGGAGGCAGGAGGGAAGGCAGGAGGGGGGGCGGGAGGGGAGGCAAAAGGGGATGGTGGGGCAGGCGTATCGGAGGAAGCACATCCGAATGCTTCTGCAGCAGCTGCAGCAGCACGGGTATTCCCGAGAGGGGACGACAAGCAGTGGGGGAGGTACGTGGACATTTGCAGAGAGGCAGAGGCAGCACAGGAAGATAAGCTTGCTGCGGTAAGCAACATAAGCCACCTCTTTCACATAGCCACAGTCTCTTCCGAATCCGCCCGTTCCAATGCGCTCTCGGCCGCGAGTGTGGAGGGTGAGAGTGCCGTGCCTCGGATATTTGCCAGCCTCGGGAAGATCAGGTTTGGAATTTCGGTGTGCCGATCCTTGTGTGCCGGGGTACGTGTGGCAAAGGCAGCGATCAAGTGGGAGGAGACACTGATGCGGGCGTTTGCTGCTGCTGGTGGTGGTGCTGCTGCTGCTGTTGCTGCTCCTCACCATGCAGCAGGGTTTTTTACTACTGAGCTGAATCCTGAAGATGAGGAGGACAGGGATGGGGAGGAGACAGAAGCAGGAGATGGAAGCCGGGACATGGATGACATGTTGAGTCATGATGTGGTGGAGACACGTGCAGAGGGATTGGAACGGCTGCAGGTGCTGATTGAGGAGCTGCGTGAACACACAGACGCCATGACTGCTAGCTTCGATTCCATGCGCCCAGTGGTGAATGCAGGACGTTGGGCGGCAACACCAGGAGGAGGAGATGGAGCAGCAGGAGGTGGGGCAGCAGCAGCAGGAGGAGGAGAAGGAGCTGCAACAGCTCATGGGGGCCCAGCAGTGCGTGAGGGAAGAGCAGCAGTGCGCGGAGTGAGAGGAGGAGCTGCGGAAGCATCGGAGCCGGTGGAGAGCACGCTGGAAGACAAAAGGCTGGTAGAGGGGGCAGCAGGGGAAGCGGCAGCAGGGGAAGCAAAACTAAGCAGCGGAAAGTCAAGCTTCAAGCATTCTGAAGGGAGCCAAGCTGCAATCCCCGTGCAAGTGTACTGCCCTCCGCTTGAGTCCTTGACTCTCCAGTCCCTCTCCTTTGCCTCCACTCCCCATGCCCCCTGGCTGCCTCCCACCCTTTCCTCTGAGTCTCCTCGCATGTACCTCTCCTCGCACAACTCGCCACCATCAGATTCATGTCACTCATCCTCCTCCTCTTCCCTCTCCTCCTCTGCCCCATGCCCTAGCGGTCACCCAATGTCCTTTGAGTCCCTTGCTCGAGCTGCAGCCTTCAGGCACCTCAAGCATCTCGCCTTGGTGTGCTGCGTAGGATTGAAGGAGCAGGACTGGCTGGAACTACTCGGAGCGTGCTCTAATTTGGAGGAGCTAAGGGTGTTGGAAAATAGTGAAATCTCAGACGCAGTGGTGGCGGGAAGCAGACTGGGAACGCTCGCTAGTTTGACGCTGGTGGAGTGCGATAAGATTACAGCAACCGGCATTGGAGGGGTTCTTGGAAGCTTCCCGAGGTTGAGGTACTTGAAAGTTGAAGTGGGGAAGGTCACGGAAAGGGCTCGGAGAGAGTTGCTCCGTGCTGGTGTGGTTGTGAGGGGCGTGTGAAATAGGTGACATAGCAGTGTGGTGGGTGCAATGTGCATTTGTCATTGTAAATATGTGCATATAATGTTTGTTTGTGAGGTGAAATCATGGACAGAGCAGGCGAACCCACATTTCTCAGGTTTCCGTGATAACTAGACTCACTTTGCTTCTCACCGCTCTAGAGCACTCAAGAACTCACTGAGCCGCAATCCACCAAGTTCTGGGGCGCGCCAATCAAGCATCCCGACCGATTCCCGAGAAGTCAAAACCAATTTCTAGGGACAGTTAGACAGGAGCACTCCTCCCTCCCTCTCCAGGCAGCATCCCCCACCACCCAGCCAAACCGATCACGACAAGCTTTCGCTGTATGCTTTTGTGGGCTGGGGGAGTGGGGAGGGAGGGGAGAAGGGACTTGGGAGTGTAGGGAGCGAGTAGGAGTGTGAGTCACGCGGGCCCGCTTCATCATAAGCCAAATGATGGTTGACGTGGCGTCAGTCATCTGTCGTCGCTCTCGGCTCGCCTCACTCCGTCATGGCTGTCGTGCGTTCTCTCCGCCCCTTCCGCATCGCCCTAGGAGGCACGATCAGGACGGTTCGCGTCCCGAAAGGCCAGGATTTATCTATCTAAACCGTTCCCGACCTCTTCGCCAAACCTATGCCAGGTTGGCAAGATTGATCCAACGGCTCTGACGTCTTAGGCCGCAACCACGGAGAATCATAGGTTAACGTAACTGGATCCTCCTAGCAGCCAGGCCAGCCAGTCGGACGGGAACGGAATCATTTCAAGACAGGAAGAGTCTAGTCAGTCTGAGAATCCGTTCTTCCTCCCTCTTGTTGATTTCAAGGACGATGTCGCTTGGAGGAGGTTTCATCTTTTGATCTTCACCCATCAGACTCGAGATCTTTCGATCTGATTGGATTTGATTTGTCACGCCGCGGGAAGAAGGCGTTTTCGCTAGTACAATATCGATTAGTCACGATCGATCGTACAAAATGGCTAAAGCTGACGCGTCCTTAGATAATCTGATCGTTGCGTTCGGGGTGTCACGTGCTTCGAGCTGGAGTTTTCCCGAAATTGCACGTGTTACTTAGAAGCCTTCTGAGGTTACAGATGTTTCCACGTGGAGTATTTTTAGGTTTCTAAAGGCAATTAGCCAAGTGAACTTCAGCTCGCGATGGCGAGAAGAAGCGATCGCGCCGGCAACAGCAGGCTGCTATCTCTCCCCGACGAGCTCCTCCAAATCATTCTCGGCCTCGCCGATCACCCATCCGATCGCCGCAGCGTCGCGCTCTCCTGCTCCCGCCTCCGCCGCCTCTCTCGGCGCACGTCGCACCCCCTCAGCTTCGACTTCTACTCTCGGCGAAGGGTCACGAATTTGCGTCAATGGCTGAAAGCGTTTGACGATTATTCAAGGGTATTTACCCACATAACGGATCTGACTGTGGAGATTCCATCTGGTTTCGGGAATCAGCTGATACTGGGGATCGCAGCGGGCTGCCCGAAACTGGAAAAACTGAAATGGGTGACGGGTTGGGATAGCTTTAACGTCAACGGTCCGGCGTGGCGAGCCCTCGCGCAGCAATGCCCGTGAGTAAACGTTTCCGTTGATAGTCCATAAAATTACAGACGTTTCCGTTTCTCTCTTCCTCCTCGAATTTTTTTGTCGCCCAATGCATCCTGGCATGTGTGGATGCATGTATCCTTGTATCCATTGAATCATCTTCAACCCTCTTCCTCTTCACCCCTCCTTCTTCAACCCTCCCTATGCACACCACCCTCCCTCTTCACCCCTCGACCCTCGCCCCTTCCCCCGTGGTTCAGGCTCTTGATCTCCCTCGGACTGAACGCATGCCATCGCCCTTTTCCCCTTCCTTCAGGCTCCTGAATTCCCTGGAGCTCAACTCACGCTATGCGCGCGCGCGTCTCTCCTACACACGGCAGCCGCCACTCCCTCCCGTGCACCTCCTCCCCTCACTGCAGTCCCTCTCTCTCCTCTACGTTCCCTCCGACTACCTCTCCATTCCCCGCTGCTCCTCCCTCACCTCCCTCACTCTTTGGGCCCCTGAATCCTCCGCTCTCTCCTCCCTTGCCTTCTCCTCCTCTTCCCCCTCCTCCTCCGCCGTTGCGTCCTCCCCTCCATCCCCTCTCTGCACATCTCTCAGATCTCTCACAATTTACTCTGCCGAACTTGAGGCCTCCCTTGCATCCCTCTCCCTCTTCCCCTCCCTCTCCTCCCTCTCCCTCCACTCCTGCACCATCGACCCATACAAGCTCCGCTCTCTCTCACGCTCCCTCCACTCCCTCACCCACTTCACCATCCACTCCTGCCCACTCATCTCCTCCCACTCCCTCGCCCCCATCCTCCAAGCCAACCCTGCTCTCTCCTCCCTCTCCCTCCACGGAACAAATTACTGTCTGTTTGCCGCACAGCGATTCTGGTCTCTCCTCTCGCACTCCTCCTCCCAGCTCCACTCCCTCCACCTCGCCGGCCTCCCATCCTTCCACCCGGGCTTGCTTGCAGCCTGCAGTGCCCTGCGGTCGCTCAGTCTGGAAGGGGTGGGTATTTCTTCGGACTCCCGGTTGCCGCGCACTGTAACATTGGACGGCCTTGTGGGTATGCTCGTGTGTGTGGAACAAAGAGGAGGGGCAGGAGGGAGGGCAGGAGGGGGGGCAGGAGGGAAGGCAGGAGGGGGGGCAGGAGGGAAGGCAAAAGAGGATGGTGGAGCAGACATATCAGAGAGAGCTCATCCGGGTGCTTCTGAAGCAGCTGCAGCAGCTGCAGCAGCAGGGGTATCCCCAAGAGGGGACGACAAGCAGTGGGGGAGGTACGTGGATATTCGCAGAGAGGCAGAGGCAGCACAGGAAGATAAGCTAGCAGCGGCAAAGAACATTATCCCCCTCATGAACGCAGCCCATCAAGCTTCCAGAACCGCCCATTCCGATGCACTTTCAGCAGCGCGTTTGGAGGGTGTAAACGCCGTGCCTCGCATCGTTGCCAGCTTCGGGAAGATCAGGTTCGGGGTTTCGGCGTGCCGGACCTTCTGCGCCGGGGTACGTGAGGCCAATGCGGCGATCAAGTGGGAGGAGGCGCTGATGCGGGCGTTTGCTGCTGCTGGTGCTTCTGGTGGTGGTGGTGGTGGTGCTGCTGCTGCTGCTGCTTTTGCTGCTCGTCGTCATGCTGCAGGCTTCTTTACTACGGAGCTGAATCTTGAAGAAGAGGAGGACGGGGATGGGGACGAGACAGAAGCAGGAGATGGAAGCAGGGGCATGGATGACATGTTGAGTCCTGATGGCCTGTCTGAGGGTGTGCTGGGTGGGGTTCGGTCTGGTGCGGTGGAGACACGTGCAGAGGGGGTGGAGAGGCTGCATGCGCTGATTGAGGAGCTGGGGGAGCACACTAATGCCATGTCTGCGAGCTTCAATTCCATGCGCCCACTCTCCCCCACCCTGCCTTGGCCATTGATTGATGCGGCATCAGCAGGAGGTGGGGCAGCAGGAGGTGGGGCAGCAACACCAGGAGGAGGAGAAGGGGGAGCAACAGCGCATGGGGTGGCAGCAGTGCGTGAGGGAAGAGCAGCAGTGCACCGAGCGAGAGGAGGGGCAGCGGAAGCATCGCAGCGAGTGGAAATCACACCAGAAGACAGAGGGCTGGGAGAGGCGGCCGCAGGGGAGGCGGCAGCAGGAGAAGCAGCAGCAGGGGAAGCAGCAGCAGGGAATGCGGCAGCAGGGGAGACAGCACCAGGGGATGCAAAACCAAGCAGCGGAAAGTCAAGCTTCAGGCATTCTGAAGGGAGCAAAGCAGCAGCAGCAGTCCCCGTGCAAGTGTACTGCCCTCCTCTGGAGTCTCTGACCCTCCGATCCCTCCACTTCGCCTCCCCGCCCCATGTCCCCTGGCTGCCTCCCTCCCTTTCTTCTGAGTCTCCTCACATGTACCTCTCGTCATCCCCCTCTCCACCGTCCTATTCATGCCACTCATCCTCCTCCTCTTCCCGCTCCTACTCTGCCTCGTGCCCAAGCTGTCACCCAATGTCCTTTGAGTCCCTTGCCCGAGCTGCAGCCTTCAGGCACCTCAAGCATCTCGCCTTGGAGTGCTGCGTAGGGTTGAAGGAGCAGGAGTGGCTGGTACTCCTCACAGCGTGCTCTAAGTTGGAGGAGCTAAGGGTGTTGGAAAATAGCGAAATTTCAGACGCAGTGGTCGCGGGAAGCAGACTGGGAACGCTCGCTAGTTTGACTCTGGTGATATGTGATAAAATTACAGCAACTGGCATTAGAGGGGTTCTTGGAAGCTTCCCTAGTTTGCGGTACTTGAAGGTGGAAGTGGAGAAGATCTCAGAAAGGGCTCGGAGGGAGCTGCTTCGTGCTGGAGTGGTTGTGAGGGGGGTGTGACATTGGTGACAGATATGGTAGGTGCATACATACCGATGTCAAGGCTGCTCTTTGGCTCAAAACCGCCATTCACTTTTATCCTGTAAATAAATGTAAATATTGTTTATTTTGAGAGGTGTTGTTGCATGGTTGGGAGCGCTGCAAAAAAGCTCCTGGCACGTATGTGCGTTACAGGACGCTTCGTTTCGGCCTTCGTGTAGGCCCTTTGTCCCAGCCCTTCAAATAGAGCCTTTTAGATACCATTTAGAGAGGTATATTCAGTCAAAGAACTTAGTGATTCCTGGGCTTGGGCTCGAGAACAAAACTCGATGAAAAACGACACCCCTCGGGCGTACGCGTTAGGGGTGTTTTTCCTGGGAAACCCTGCCCCCTATCCAGCAGCTCCCCCCTCCCCCCTTTCCCCTGCATCCAATTTTCAGTCATCTCCTGAAGCCAGCCAAAACGCGAACCTCGGAACTCTCTACTCTCGAGAACTTCGTCCCAGAGCCCAAAGCGGAGAGCCTCGAGAGCTTCCCTCCCCTCTCCACACATGCAGCCACTAACGTTTTCCGTATGCGAGTGGAGGGGGAGTGCGAGTGCGTCAGGCAGGGCCATTCCAGCGCACGGGAGCCGATGGTCCACGTGGAGTCAGTGATCTGTTGGTCCGCTCTGCTTCCAAATGTCATGGCTGCCGTGCAGATTCGCTTGCGCTCGTTCAGGAGGCCCAGATCGGTTGGGTACGGTTTCTATTTCCTGCACCCAGCCACGGAGAGTGAATTAACATCATCATCTCCTACCAGCCAGTGCAACTCCGAGCACTTCAAGTCCAGACGACGATCCCTGCTGAGCTTGGGAAATCGTCCTCCTTAGAAGGTTAGTTCTTGACAGAAATCCACCCAGTCGTAATCTTCACCCAGCTCTCGCCTGTGCTCGAGCTTGCGCGGGTACGTGACAGCGCTTTTCTTCTGAAGCGCCTCAAACGCAAACGGGAGAAGCCTGTCTCGTTAGCGGTTTCGTAGCGGTTATTCCGAAACCCCATTGCAGCTTCCAGCCTCATACGACTATCCCGTGGTGGTGCCTCGGTTTCCCCTCGGGACCAGGCCCAGGACGGACGGCTTCGCGCAGGGCTCGGGACTGCCCGATCTGCTGGGTATGAAGCCCTTTCCCCTACGAGCCGTTTGTTCGGGGCAAATTCTGGCCAGGCGTCTTCCTGACGACATTCGTTTTAGCGGATCTTTTGCATCGGCTTCCTATTGCTTCAATACCTCATTTTGGCTCCTTATTCTCTCGTGTCTCTTGTCCAGCTGTGGCTTCTGGAGGCGTCCCGCCTCGTTATTTCACGGTCAGCTCGTGATGGCGGAAGACAGAGAAGGCGCCGAGGATAGCAGGCTGCTATTGCTCCCTGACGACCTCCTCAAAATCATTCTCGGCCTCGCGGATCACCCATCCGATCGCAGCAACGCCGCGCTCTCCTGCGCCCGCCTCCACCACCTCTCGCGGCGCACACCACATGCGCTCCGACTCGAGTTCCACTCCAGGTCAAGGGCTGCGAATCCGCGAGAATGGTTGAAAAAGTTCAAGGATTTTTCAGGGGTATTTACCCACGTGACGGATTTGACCGTGGAGATCACCAGCGGCCTTGGGGACCAGCTGATTACGGGGATCGCAGCGGGCTGCCCGAAACTGAAAAAACTGAAGCTGGACGTGTCGGCTTGGGATAGCTTCGACGTCAACGGTCCAGCGTGGCGAAATCTCGCGAACCGATGCCCGTGAGTTGACACTTTTGTGCTCCTTCTCCCCCTCAAAACCTTTTGCCCAATGATCATGCATCCATCCATCCGTCCGTCCGTACCCCCCTCCGTCCGTCCGTCCGTCCCACCCTCCGTCCGTCCGTCCGTCCTTCCGTCCGTCCGTCTCTATTTTCATGTATGACTTGACTTCTGACGAGACTTTACACGCCCTGAATGGAGCACCGAGCGCAAAGTTATGTGCATTCCGTCTCTTCCCTTTATCCCCTCCTCTCCCCTCCCCTCCCCCCTCACCCCTTCCCTCCGCATGCAGGCTCTTGGCTTCACTGGAGTTGAACTCGCCCTCTGTGCGCTCGTGTCTCTCTCACACACAGCAGCCGGCGCTCCCCCCAGTGCACCTATTCCCCTCACTGCAGTCCCTCTCTCTCCTCTACGTTCCCTCGGACTTACTCCCCATTCCCCGCTGCTCCTCCCCCACCTCCCTCACCCTCTGGGCACCTGAATCCTCCACTCTCTCCTCTCTTGTCTCCTCATCCTCCTCTTCCTCCCATGCTTCCTTCTCCTCCCTTGACTCCTCCACTACCTCCTCCCCCCTGGCGTCCTCCCTCCCACCCTCTCTCTTCACATCTCTCACATCTCTCACGATCCACTCTGCTGAACTGCAAGGCTTCCTCGCTTTCCTGCCCCTCTTCCATTCCCTCTCCTCCCTCTCCCTCCACTCCTGCACCATCGACCCATACGAACTCCGCTCCCTCTCACGCTCCCTCCACTCACTCACCCACCTCACCATCCACTCCTGCCCACTCGTCTCCTCCCAATCTCTCGCACCCATCTTCGCTCTCTCCTCCCTCTCCCTCCACGGAACAAATTACTGTCTGTGTGCCGCAGAGCGCTTTTGTTCTCTCCTCTCGCACTCCTCCTCCCAGCTCCACTCCCTCCACCTCGCCGGCTTCTCATCTTTCCGCCCGGGCTTGCTTGCAGCCTGCAGTGCCCTGCGGTCGCTCAGTCTGGAAGGGGTGGATCTTTCTTCAAACGCCCGATTGCCGCGTGCTGTAACATTGGACGGCCTTGTGGGTATGCTTGTGAGGGTGGAACGGAGAGGAGGGGCAGGAGGGGGGGCAGGAGGGGAGGCAGGAGGGGGGGCAGGAGGGGGGGCAGGAGGGGGTGCAGGAGGGGAGGGAGGAGGGAAGGCAGGAGGGGGGGCAGGAGGGAAGGATGGTGGAGCAGACATATCAGAGAGAGCTCATCCGGGTGCTTCTGCAGCAGCTGCAGAAGCACGGGTATCCTCAAGAGGGAGCGACAAGCAGTGGGGGAGGTACGTGGATATTCGCAGAGAGGCAGAGGCAGCGCAGGAAGATAAGCTTGCTGCGGCGATGAACGTTGTCCCCCTCCTGCAGGTAGCCCATCGAGCTTCCAGTACCGCCGATTCTGATGCGCTCTTGGCTGTGCGTGTTGAGGGTGAGGGCGCCGTGCCTTGGATCGTTGCCAGCCTCGGGAAGATCAGGTACGGGATTTCAGCGTGCCGGACCTTCTGTGCCGGGATACGTGAGGCCAATGGGGCGATCAAGTGGGAGGAGGCACTGATGCAGGCGTTTGCTGCTGCTGTTGCTGGTGGTGGTGGTGCTGCTGCTGCTGTTGCTGCTCCTCACCATGCAGCAGGGTTTTTCACTATGGAGTTGAATCCTGAAGAAGAGGAGGACAGGGATGGGGAGGAGACAGAAGCAGGAGATGGAAGCAGTGGCATGGATGACATGTTACGTCATGATGGCCTGCCTGAGAGTTTGCTAAGTGGGGTACGGTCTGATGTGGTGGAGACACGTGCTGAGGGGATTGAACGGCTGCTGGCGCTGATGGAGGAGCTGCGTGAACACACAGACGCCATGTCTGCGAGCTTCGATTCCATGCGCCCAGTGATGGAAGCAGTGCTAGTTGGAGGTGGGGCGGCAACACCAGGAGGAGGAGATGGAGCAGCAGGGGGTGGGGCAGCAGCAGGAGGTGGGGCAGCAGCAGCAGGAGGAGGAGGCGAAGCAGCAGCAGCTCATGGGGGGGCGGCAGTGCGTGAGGGAAGAGCAGCAGTGCCAGGAGTGAGAGGAGGGGCGGCGGAAGCATCGCAGCGGGTGGAAAGCACGCTGGAAGACAAAAGGCTGGTGGAGGGGGCAGCAGGGGATGCAAAACCAAGCAGCGGAAAGTCAAGCCTCGAGCATTCTGAAGGGAGCCAAGCAGCAGTCCCCGTGGACGTGTTATGCCCTTCTCTGGAGTCCCTGACCCTTCAGTCCCTCCGCTTCACTTCCCCGCCCCATGTCCCCTGGCTGCCTCCCTCCCTTTCTTCTGAGTCTCCCCGCATGTACCTCTCCTCTCCCGCCTCGCTACCATTCTCTTCATGTCACTCATTCTCCTCCCTCTCCATCCCGTCCTCTTCCCTCGCCTCCTCCTCTTCCCGTTCCTCTTCTACCCCATCCCCAAGCTGTCAGCCAATGTCGTTTGAGTCCCTTGCCCGGGCTGCAGCATTCAGGCACCTCAAGCTGCTCGCCCTGGTGTGCTGCGTGGGGTTGAAGGAGCAGGAATGGCTGGAACTATTCGGAGCGTGCTCCAATTTGGAGGAGCTAAGGGTGTTGGGGAATAACGAATTTTCAGATGCAGTGGTGGCAGGAAGCAGGCTGGGAACGCTCGCTAGTTTGACTCTGGTGGAGTGTGGTAAGATCACAGCAACTGGCATTGGAGGGGTTCTTGGAAGCTTCCCGAGATTGAAATACTTGAAGGTGGAAGCGGAAAAGGTTTCGGAAAGGGCTCGGAGAGAGTTGCTTCGTGCTGGTGTGGTTGTGAGGGGGGCGTGACATATGTGGTGTATGTGGTAGGTGCCAAGTGTTAAGGTTGCTTTTGGGCACAAGAATACCTTGCATTTTGTTCATTGTAAATATTTTTAAAAAATGTTTGGTTCAATGTAAAACCATGTACTGTACGCATTTGGAGACCTCAACCACTGCCCAAGAAAAGCTTCCCTTGAAATGCCTGGACCTGCTCTTCCTCAACCACAAGATTTGCCTTTAATTCACCGCTTCTCACCGCTCTAGAGCGCACAAGAACTCACTGAGCTTCAATCTAACCAAGTTCTGGGGCACGCCAATCAAGCGTCTCGAGAAGTCAAAAACCAAGTTCTAGGTCTAGTCTTGGGACCGTTGGACAGCACCCCTACCTCCCTCCCCAAGCAGCACCCCCCACCACCCAGCCAAACCGATTACGAGGGAGTAGAAAGCAGGGAGTGAGTAGGGAGTGTGTGAGTCACGCTGCCCAGGGTGAGTCACGCGGGCCCATTTCCATAAGCAACCTGATAGTTGACGTGGCGTCAGTCATCTGTCGTCCCTCTCGGCTCACTTCGTCATGGCTGTCGTGCGTTCTCGTCGCTCCTTCGCCTTGCCCTAGGAGGAACGATCAGGACGGTTCGCGTCCCGAAAGGCCAAAATTGATCTAAACCGTTCTCGATCTCTTCGCCGAACTTATGCCAGGATGCCAAGATTGAACCTGACGGAGAATCATAAATCACGCAACTGGATCCTCCTAGCAGCCCGGCCAGCCAGTCGGACGGGGAAAGAACTAAGTCAGGATAAGTCTTGATCATCTGATCTGAGGGTTCCTACTCCCTCTTGTTAATTCCAAGGTTGATGTCGCTTGGAGGACGTTTCATCTTTTGATCTTCACCCTCCTTGCAAGGCGCTACCTTCATTAGATTCGATTCCATTCGATTCCATTGGATTCGACTATTCACGCGTGCTCGCCGATACCAGAACGCTCATGTGACGGCGTGCTCTCTCTAAGCCACCTCGAGAAGCGTTTTCGCCGCGAAGAGAAGGCTATTTCGCCCAACGGCTTCGTAGCGGCCAATCACGGGCTCATCCGTGCCGTACCACGCTATGGCGGTGCCTCGAGTTTCCCCCGAGAGCAGACCCAGGACGGACGGATTCGCGCAAGGCTCGGACTGCCCTATCTGCTGGGTATGCCCTCCCTTTCCTCTAGCACACGTCAGCTTCTAGAAGGATCTGCTCTGGCCATTTGTCTTTCTGCGCCGTGCTGATCTTGATTCTCCAGGCCAATCATCTCTGCGCGTTTGACCGCCAGACATATCACTGGGCGAACACATCGTGTTCATGTACATTTGGCGGAATTATCCTTTATTCTTAATCATCGTCCTCTTTCTTGGAATTCAGGAAGCCTGAAATTACATCTGAGACAGTTAATTCTATCTTTCCACCACCCTCACCATTTTTGTCCCATCCGCTGCCATTCCTCATCCCCCTTACAGGAGGCCTACGATTCCAGTATAAGATCCCCGCACGTGCTGCTGTGCGGCCACACTTTCTGCAAGCACTGCGTGCTCATCCTCCCTATAGCCGTCTTCAATAAGCTGCCATCGCTGCAGATCCAGCTGCCATGGCTCGTGGATTGTCCGCTGTGCCACTGGGTGACTCCTAGGCTCGTCGTTGAGGGGAATCTGCAGTACCCTTTCAAGAACTTCTCCCTGGTGAGTCTCCACTGAACTGAACCTCTCCCTGGTAAGTCTTTGTTTAACTTTTCCCTGGTAAGTTCGGCTGCAGATCCAGCTGCCATGGCTCGTAGACTGCCCGCTGTGCCACTGGGTGACTCCCAGGCTCGTCGTGGAGGGAAATCTGCAGTACCCGTTAAAAAACTTCTCCCTCGTAAGCCTCTATTTGTCCCTCGCAAACTCAGCTGCCAGCTATCATTCTGCTGTTCTCTTCGTGGGACACATACAGGAAAAGGCTCCTTACGCTTCAGATCCAGCTGGAAATGTTTCCTGGTAGGAATTGGTTAAACTTCTCATATTCATTACTGTTTTCTCACATCTGTTTCTGTTCCCCGCATGTAACTTCCATTCCTCTCGAGCAGCTGTGGCTTCTAGAGGCTTCCAGGCTCGCTCTCCCTCGAGGCGTCAGCTCACCCACCTCTGCTGCCAGCGCCACCGCCAGCGTCAGACACTCTCCTGCGCGGTCTAACCTCCCAGACGGCCTAGAATCGCCGGATCCCTCGCCTCACGACGAACGCTGCAGCAGTGCCTCTGGTGCTCACATTGGCAGCAGCAGCCGCGGCGGTGCCGGCGGCAGCAGCAGGAGGAGAAGAAGCAGTGGGGATTACAGCACCAGTGCCAACAACAACAACAACAGCAGCAGCAGCACGAATGCGTTTCTGGAAGCTCAAGCACTGGGAGCCCAAGCCCTGGGCGCACAGGTGCTGGGAGGGCAGGCGTTGGGGTCTCAGTCCTCTGGCGGACAGACCCTCTGGTGGGTGCTGCCCCGCGTGCTGCTGGAGCAATGGCGCCCAGGCGGTTCCCCTGCAGCTGCAGCTGGTGCTGCCGCTGCTGCCGCCGCTGCTGTGGCTGTGCAGGCGTTGCAGCAGCATCAGCAGGGGCAGGAGCAGGGGCAGCAGGAATGGGTGGAAGGAGGACACATCCCCCACCACTACCTGTATCAGTTGCAACAGCAGCAGCAGGAGCAACAGCAGTGGCAGTGGCAGGGGCGGGGGCAAGGGCAGAGGCCAGGAGCAGGGTTTCACCACCTCCTGTATTCCAGTCGGCAGCAGCTGGCACTCTGGCTGCTGCAGCGGGCGATCCAATGGTTCCCGTTCATTCGCACGGGGATCAACGGTGCGGCGTTCTACCTGGGCCGTCTGCGGCAGCTGTGCACGCGGTTACCGTTTCTGGGAGTGCTGGCGGTGGTGAGCTTTGTGATTGTGCCCTGGTGCTCCCTTGCTCTGCTCTGCTACCTGGCAGTGTTTCTGTTTGTGGCCGTGCCTGCTGCCGTGTGCCTTGTGCTCTCCATTTACTGGTCCGAAACGCTTCTGAGGAGACTGACTGGCATGCCCTGAAGATTGGGAAATCGTGTACAGTGCATTTGTTGAATACAGTGGAGTAATTCTTGTGGTGGAAACAGAATAATGGTGCATGTCATCTGCTAATAATGCTGTTAATGGCTTCCTGCACGGTACCTGTTGCGTTGTTATGATGAGTCCTGAAATGAACAGTGCGATTTTGCTGTTGTATAAATTATACAGACTGCTACAACACTGTACCATGTAAGGCAAGAGGGTTGGGCTTGGCTCCAAAAAGAATACCATAATTTCATTTCTGTTTTGGGTACAAAATATCATAGTGCCCTGGTCGATATAGAAGCGTCATGGCAGGTGTAGCCCAAACGCTCTCCTCGGGCAGAAATTCGTGGAAATTCGCCTGCCCGGCACTGCAGTCAAGGTAAACGATCCGGATGGGTACGGCGAGGGCATCTGTGATGGCTGTGATGTGCACGTGATCGCTCTCCTCCCCCATTGCCTCCACTGCCTTGTGACAGAACTGGGGAGGGTACAAAAAAGGCATAGGAGGAAAAGCAGGCAGGGGCAATAAGGTAGGTCACAAGGATGGGTACAGAAAGACCAGCTGTGATGTGCGCGTGATCGCTCTCCTCCCCCCATGGGCTCCACTGCCTTGAGATAGAACTGGGGGAAGGAAGACGAGAGAAAAGGGAGGGAAAAGAGGGCATAAAGAGCGGATGAGAGTTGATCAAGTGAGAAATCAGGGAGTATGGCGGATGGGAAGCGGACGAAAGGAAGGACATGAAAGGAAGGAAGGACATGAAAGGAAGGGCACTGTTACCTGTTTGGCGGCCTCCTTTGGCGTGCCCATGCCAGCCATGGCATCTGGCAGGAAGGGATGGAAGAAGTCTGCCCGGTGCTGGATGTCAGCTGATGTGATGAAACGCAGAAACATGACCGCTGATGGGGGGAGGAGAGGGATGGGGGTGAGGCGGGGGGTAGGGGAGGAGCAGAGGGAATGAAGGAAGGAAATAAATATTTTTGCCCGGTGCTGGATGTCAGCTGATGTGATGAAACGCAGAAACATGACCGCTGGAGTGGAGCGGAGGGGAGAGGGGAGCCGGAGGGGGGGGCGGGGAGTGGGAGAGGGAAAGAGCAGGATTGTGGGGAGAGGCAGAGAGGGAGTGAAGAAGAAGAACGGAAGACGTCTGCTCAGTGTTGGATGTTAGCAGAGGTGACAAAGCATGGAAACATGACCGCTGGAGTGGTAATGGAGAGGTAGCACCAATAGCAGTGCTGGTCAAATTACACAGTTAGGATTCAAGAGCAGTATTCAGTGACTCACCATAGTTGGAGCAGTCTGGGTCTTGACAGCGCTTCAACAGCCCATCCACCCTGCCATTCACACATGAACCCAATCTTTAGTCGCGTGTCTTGTTGAAGCACCTCTAAAACATTTATTTGAAAGCACCTCATAAATCTATATTTGAAGCACCTCAAAAACAGCATGACCACAGAACATAAGACACACTCCACGCGTTTTAAGTTAAACCACAAGACCACAAGCTCATACATCCATGAAAGATAAGCAGAAAATACTAAAAACGTGTTTTTTACACACTTTCGAAAATCAGCGCGCATATCCATGCATGTTCAAGCAGACAAGACGGTAACCTTAACATGTACGCACAGGCAGGCCAAGGCTCCATTGAAATATAAATACAACAAAGATATGCGTAAAAATCAGCGGACAAATCAGCAGCGGCAGCAACTACAGCAGCAGCAGCAGCAGCAGCAGCAGCAGCAGCAGCAGCACTCACTTGATCTTCTCTGCTGCAGTTGACGGGTCCACGGCATCTAGAAGCTCTCGATACTCCTGCACTCATGCATGCAAGCGAGACATGAAGACACGAGGACACGGATACATGAAGACTCCGTTCAACAGGGTTTTCTTGCAAATTCTCAATAATACCCTGTTACTTGCAGGAACGGTGAGTGACTAGCCATAAGCAACGAAGGAGACTGCGAGGCAAGCAAGGTCAATTTGTCAAGCGGCTGTACCCAAGGTCATTTATTCAGGAGCCTAAAGAGCAACAACCACACAAGAACAGCAACCACGGCACACCACCAACTCACAGCAGCAAAGTCTTCCCATGTGAACTCGGTATACCCGAGGTCTCTCAGCCTCTGCTCGCTGCGTGCCACTCGCTCCCTCACTTGCTCGCACTCCTCCTTGCTGCCGCCTTGTAACAGGTGCTCCTGTAACGAATGTTAGTGGTCCAGGGCAGATGGTTGGCTGGACGATTGGGGCCTTGTAAAGCATGGCACCCACTTTTGATCACTGTTTAAGCAACTTCTTGAACAAGGTGTACCGTGGTTTCTAGATAATGACACTATTTAGCGAGGTGACATTTGAGTTGACTCAAAAGTGTATCTATAATAGTCTGTTCTCACCAGGAGAGCAAAGAGGAAGCAGCGGAAGAAGCAGTTTCCATCTCCTCGTGTCCTCCTGATGGCCTCGTACTCTGCTGCGAGGTGCTGCAAGAGGGGGGGTGAAGGGCGGTGAACGGGAGCGAAGAGGGGTGAACGGGGTTGAGGGGGGATGAAGAGGGGTGAAGTGGGATGAACAGGGGTGAACGGAGCAGATAGGTCAAGGAAGGAAAGCCCGCTTTCTGTCTTTTACTCCACTGTTCCTACCCCTCTAATCGCGCCTTCCCCCCCCCGTTTTCAACCCATCCCCGCGTCTCTTCACCACATCCCCTCACCCGTGTGCCTGATGCCCCTTCCCTCATTCCACTCACCTCGATCTTGTCTTGGAACGTGCTGCTTCCCGCTGCGTATTCCGACGCCAATGCCGACAACGGCTCCTGCGGGGGATCGCACGGGTTGACGCAACTCCGGAATTTGAATCTTGAGGACACGTCGACTCAACGGTCACCTCGACTCAAAACGGTTGAAGATTTTCGAGAGTTGACACGCACGAAATAGCGGAAGACCTGTTCGAAAATGGTCACAAAGATCAACTAATGATCCCGCACGCTTCTACAACTACCCACCCTTCCTCAATTACCCACCCTTCTACAATCACCAACCTTCTCCCCGACAAGCGGGTACCGCTGAGCTTCCTGTTCCCTCATCGCATTCTGCTGCGCTAAAATCGCCTCGTCCGACGGTCGATCGTCGCCTTGCGACGGCGGATCGTCGCCTTGCGACTCCATGCGACAAAATCTGTGAGGCTGCGGTTCCCTGAAGAACCTCCCACTACTCTCCTAGCGACTGAGAGCTACAAATGTGACCGTTGGACTGAGAACCGCGGGGGAATCTGAAACCCTACTGCGCAAGACGGCAAACCAGGTGGGAGGAATTCCGAGAAACAATGGGAAGGAGTGCAAAATGCTTTGACATTGGAAGTTCCGCTAACTGTTACTGCATCAAACAATGGGAGGCTTTTATGGGAGGCTTTTGTTCAACTTGTAAGCCTTTTCTTGAAGTGTTATTAGCACAAGAGAGTTATCACGAGCTACAATATAGGACAAACAATTCAGCACCACCATGGCAGAGTGAAACGAAACAGGGTCGATCGAGACAGTGCAGTCAACGCTCATACCGTCCTGTGAACCCATATTCCAAATGCCGACCCAACCCAAGCACCACCCATGGTAGACCTTTCGAGCCAACTCAAAAGTAGACGCATCAACCAAGTCAATACCCAAGTCCTCTTGTGGACCCATATGCCCCCTCAGCACCAGCACCACCCCCTGCAGAGCTGGAAGGGTATAAGAGACGAGCCGATACTTGCAGCACCTCAGAACACTGGTGGGACGGGGTCGGGTCAACCCAGTCAATACCCGTACCCTCCTGTGGATCCATATCCTCCCCCGGTCCCAGCACCACCCCCAGCAGAGCTGGGAGGGTAAAGAGACGAGCCATAGCCGGACAGGTCTGTCGGTGCCGAGCCATACGCCGGAGCTGGCGCTGCAGCAGACCCGTACGCCGAAGCTGGTGGTGCAGGCGCAGGCGCAGGTTCGGCATAGCCTGTGTGTGAATTCATGAAACCCTGAGGGGAGAGGAGTGCGGAATGGAAGGGAAGGAGTAGAAAATCAGCACGACACCCACAGACCACAGACCTCCGCAGCCCACCTGTTTACGAATTACAGCAACGGCACCCACAGACCACAGTCCCCTGTCATGTCTTCCAGTCATAAACTGCTGCATACTTTGATTCCATTTTGCGTAGAAACTCACATTCTCATTATTTGCCACACCCTCTTTACTCCACACCCTAAACTTACAAAGCCAGTACCCACGCACCTCAATAAGCTGCTGTGCCGTCTGCACCTGCGTGGCACTGCCCCGCACCTCCACCGTCATCTCCGGCTGCCCTCCACTGTCCCTCAGCAAATCAACTCTTCCCCACGCACCTCAATCAGTTGCTGTGCCGTCTGGACCTGCGTGGCACTGCCCCGCACCTCCACTGTCATCTCCGGCTGCCCGCCCGCCCCCCGGCTCTCCTGGATGGTCACCGCGGCTCCGCTGGTGCGGCGCAGGAAGACAATGTTGGTGCCGTTGGGACCGATGATGGCGTCGACGTATGACAGAGGGATCTGCATCGTGGCACTGACCTGGAGTGGGGGATGGGGTGGAAGGGGAGTATGGGTGCGAGTGTCAGGATGGGCCAACACCCCCGCTGGTGCGGCGCAGGAAGACGATGTTGGTGCCGTTGGGGCCGATGATGGCGTCGACGTATGACAGAGGGATCTGCATGGTGGCACTGACCTGGAGAGAACAAAGATGGGCGAAATGCAAGAAGGCGTGGGTGGGATGGAAAAAAAAGGGGGGTGGAAGGTGGTGGTGTAAGAATCGGGTAACACCCCTGCTGGTGCGGCGCAGGCAGGAAGACAATGTTGGTGCCGTTGAGACCGATGATGGCGTCGACGTAGGAGAGAGGGATCTGCATGGTTGCGCTGACCTGCATAGCACAAAGTCAGAATGCAAGTGGGAGAGGTTGGAGAGGAGAGTCGGGATGGGCCAACACCCCCGCTGGTGCGGCGCAGGAAGACGATGTTGGTGCCGTTGGGGCCGATGATGGCGTCGACGTATGACAGAGGGATCTGCATGGTTGCGCTGACCTGGAGTGGGGATGGGATGACAGGGGGGTATGGGTGTGGTTGTCAGAATGGGACGGTGTTGGTGCCATTGGGACTGATGATGGCGTCGACGTAAGACAGAGGGATCTGCATGGTTGCGCTCACCTGCCAAGCACAGAGATGGAAAGCAAGTGGGATGGACGGGAGGGAGAGTGGAAGGGGAAAAAGGGGGGAGGGAGAGGGGGGAGTGTCAGGATCGGGCAACACCACGTAGGAGAGAGGGAGGTGGTGCGGCGCAGGAAGGCAATGTTGGTGCCGTTGGGGCCGATGATTGCGTCGACGTAGGAGAGAGGGATCTGCATGGTTGCACTCACCTGGAGGGATAAAGATGGGCGGAATGCAAGTCGGAGTGGGTGGGTGGGATGGACGGGAAAGGGTGTTGGGGTGTCAGGATGTGGCAATGCTGCCGCTGGTGCGGCGCAGGAAGACAATGTTGGTGCCGTTGATGGCATCCACGTATGACAGAGGGATCTGCATTGTGGCACCCACCCACCTGACGTGGGGGATTGAGTGAGTGCCCATACGCTCACCTGCGTGACGACAGGCGAGACAGTGTTGGTCATAGCGGCAGCGGCAGCAGCAGCAGGCGTCTCCCTTCCATACTTAGACAGAGCTGCCCTCAACTGCCCACTCGCATCCATTCCCCCTCCCCCTGGCCCCGCTGCCGCCCCCCCTGCTCCCCCCATCCCCCCTGCGCCCCCATATCCCCCTCCTGCCTGCGCCCCCTGTTGCTGCTGCTGCTGCTGGTACGGCTGTTGCTGGTATGGTGGCGGCGGCTGCTGCTGCTGCTGCTGGGGCGGCGGCTGGCTGATTTGCTGGCTGTAGCCCAAGCCTCCTCCCGAACCTGCTCCCATGCCTCCCATGGCTGTGCCGTACCTGCTTGGGGAGCGGACAGACACACACAGAGGGGGTAAGAGAAGGGAAAAGAAGGGGGGGAGACAGACCGTAAGCAAGGAAACACGAATGGGTAATACACTTACCCTAGAAACAAAGTTATTAGACAAACAAACAAACAAAATAATAAAAATAAAAATAATAATAATAATAATAATAATAATACTAATAATAATAATAATAATAATAATAATAAAATCTGCACAGAATGCTAGCAAGCACCTCCCATGCTCCTCACTCAACTAGGGCAGCAACGGTACTACCCTAACCTTCCCCACCCTAACACCACCACCCCCCAAACTGTTTCGCACCCGTCAGAAGCATCCCCCGTGCTCCTCAGGGAAGACTTTTGAGGCGCCTCAAAAGTCATACCCCGTACTCCTCAGGGAAGAGAGGGCGCCATAGGAGTCAGGCGCACCGCAGCCTAGGGAGGGAGTTTTTTTTCTAGGCGCCTCAAAAACGTCAGAAGCATCCCCTATGCTCCTCCGGAAGAGAGGGCGCCATAGGAGTCAGGCGCAGCGCAGCCTAGGGAGGGAGGGAGGGAGGTGGAAGCGAGCCTCTCGCCCGACCCTATAAAATGCAATCCCCTATACCTATCCATCACCCTCACGTATTCCTCCCAACCGATTCGCACCTGTCAGGACCGCCCATGCTTCCCAGGGAAGAGAGGGAGCCATAGGGGTCAGGCGCAGCAGAGGGGGGGAGGTCGAAGCGGGAGCGGTGGGGGGGAGAGTGCATCCCCCCCGGAGGAGGGTTCCCCCACCCGCCTCCGCGGCCAGAAGGGGAAGAGTAGGGCGCACCCCTGGGGTCCATAGGGGGAGGGAAGGAGCGCTGGGGTGGGGGAGGCAGGGGGAAGAAGGGGGGAATGCACGGGGGAAGGAGGGGGAATGTGAGGCTAACGGGGAAGAGTAGGTCGCAGCCCTGGGGTCCATGGGGGTGGGGAAAGGGGCGCTGGGGCGGGGGATGCAGGGTAATGGGGGGAGAAAGGTGGGGGGAAAGAGGAGGGGGATGTGTGAGGCAGAGTGGGGTACATGGGGGGAAAGGGGCGCTGGCCCGCCAGGGGAGGAGAGAGAGGGGACGGAAAGTGAGGAGGCTTTGAGAAAAGGGAGTGGTGTGGTGTGGGGCGGGAAAAGGAGGGAAAATAGGCGACAAATTGTTGAAAGAAGGGCAGCAGGCAGAAGGGGAGAAACGAGGGAAAACGTGAAGGAACGAGCGAGGGATGATGGTGTGAATGTGGGTGGGAAGTGGGTGGAGTGGGGAGTAGTGAGGGGGATGGTGAATGTGGCAGCGGGATGAAGACTGACACATAAAGAGGCATATGCATTGCTCAAAGAATGGCAGCAGCACGGAGTGGTCTCAGAGGAAGCGATTTTCCTCGTAATGTAATCTTAAAGGAGATGAGAGCATGGGCGGATGGGTGGATTGGTGCACGGGTGCATGTGGGCACATACGCATTGCTCAAAGAGCGGCAGCACGGAGTGGTCACAGAGGAAGGGAGTTTTGAGGCGTCTCATCTAAAAAAGATGAGTGCATGGGTGCATGGGTGGATGGATGCATGAGTGCATGTTTGCATGGGTGCATGGAGGGACGTACGCATTGCTCAAAGAGAGGCAGCACGGAGTGGTCACAGAGGAAGCGCCTGAGATGCAGAGTGACGCCCTTGACTGCCTCGTGCACACTCGCATACTCCCCCGTCACCTCCACCACCCTATCGTCCTCCAATGCACATGGCGGCACGTCCTCTGGTGAGTGGGTGCGAGGGTGGAGAGAAACAAACAGGGCAGGATTGCTTCCATGATGTGCACACACGCATACTCGCCTCGCCCCTCACCTCACCTCCACCACCCGATCATCCTCAAGGGCACACGGGGGCACGTCCTTTGTTCAGAAAGAGCAAGGAGAACCACTCGCATGGGAAATGATCCACACTCGAATACTTCCAGAAGAACCACACGGAAACGTAATGGGAAATGATTTGATCGAATGGGAAATGATTTGATTTGATCGAATGGCGGCGTCATGCACTGCACACTCGCATACTTCCAGAAGAAAAACAAGGGGCCGAACGAACGACAATGTTCAGCCAAACAAAACCCGTGGGTTTTGCATGTCAACCTACACGCACATACCAAGAGAGAGGATCCTGATGTGCGCCCCCGTGCTGTCCTGCAGCGCTTTAATCGTCTGCCCCTGCCGGCCAATCAAGCTCCCAGCCTGTGTGGCCGGCACCAGCAGGCACGTTGCCACCTGCCCCCGGAAGGACTCCCCTGGCAGGATCCTGATAAGCGCGCCCGTGCTATCCTGCAGGGCTTTACTGGTCTGCCCCTGCCGCCCAATGAGACTGCCAGCCTGTGTGGCCGGCACCAGCAGGCGCGTTGCCACCTGCCCCCCGAACCCCTCTCGCGGCTGAAACATCCTGTGCTACCACCGCAGCCAGTGGTACAACCCCACCCCACACACATGCACATACCGAGAGACAGGATCCTGATGTGCGCCCCTGTGCTGTCCTGCAGCGCTTTGATGGTCTGCCCCTGCCGGCCAATCAAGCTCCCAGCCTGCGTGGCAGGCACGAGCAGGCGAGTGGCCACCTGCCCCCGGAACCCCTCTCCCGGCTGAGACGCCTCGATCTCGTCCTCTGATACGCCCTCCACGATCCGACGGTGCACACGCATCATTGCCACCACGGCTGGCGGGAGCTCTAAATCAGGGTCCTCTCTTCCTGAAACCAGCACCTGGGGTTGAAAGGCAGGGTGAATGAAGGAGGTGGGGGAGGAAATAGGAAGAGGTGGTTTGTTTGTCCTCTGAACACGCGCCCTTGACAATCCGACGGTGCACACGCAGCATCGCTAAGACGGCTGGGGGAAGTCCTGAGTCAGGGTCCTCTCTGCCCGATACCAGCACCTGAGGAGGCCGTTGGGCGGGGTGAGTGAGGCAGGGGGAATTGAGGTGGAGTGAGTGAGGGTCATGAGGGAGCAAGCTCAAATCCCTCACTGGGGTGAGGGTCATGAGGGAGCAAGCTCAAATCCCTCACTGGGGTGAGGGTCATTGGGGCAGAGGATTGACTTGTCCAAGCTGCCGCAATGCAAATCATTTTGTTTGAGGTTGATTTTGAGAATTCTCAAAATCAACCTCAAACAAAAAGGTGAGGGTCATTGCGGCAGAGGATCTACTTGTCCAAGCTGCCACAATGCAAATCAATACAATCAATACAATCCCAAACGCAAAACCTCATGCAATGCAATGCTGGTTTTTGAGAATTCTCGAAAACCAGCATGAGGGAGGGAGAGAGGGCAGAGGATCGACTCGACTTGTCCAAGCCAAGCTGCCGCAACGCTCTGCAATGCAATCATCAACACATTCCCAAACGCGAAACCTCATGCAATGCCTAACCCTCCCTTCAATTCAAGCCATGAAAAAGCGATCCATACCATACCATACAGCCATCACATCCAATCCAACGTGATCCAGCGCCTTTCAAGGCCCAACCCAAGCCCAGACTCTTGTAACCAGCTTACCACACAGTTGTCAGTGAGTCGATTTTTGAGTCGACTCAAAAACCAGACTCTTGTAACCAGCTTACCACACAGTTGTCAGTGCCCGCCCGGAGTCGATGTGACTTTGTTAGTCGACTTAAAATTTCGATCCTTAGCACCCTACGAGCCCCCCAACCACGGACGAGCTATAAGACTCTTACCACGCGGTCGTCAGTGCCCGGAGCGCCCTCCACGATTTTAACGCGCGCCTTGGTCTCGTCGCAGATCTTCTTCACATACTCGCCGCGCCGCCCTATGATGCTCCCCACCTTCCCCATCGGCACCACGAACCGGAACACGTTATCCCCCGGCCACCCCGGCCAACGCTTCTGCTCCCCGCTTCCCCCTCCCCTCTCTCCGCCTGGACCACCTCCGCGCTCCCCGCGCTCCCCCCGCTCCCCACCCCGCGCGGAGTCGCCCGGTTCCCCGCCGTACATCTCCCCCGCGGAGCGCTTCTGCCTGTGTTCCCCGTGCTCCCCGCGCGTATCCCCGCGCATGTCTCCCCCGTCCCCGCCGATGCCAAGCGCGCCGAGCCCCGTGGAGCGCGGCGCAGAATCCGGCGGGTATCCTCCGCCGGAAGGCGGGTAACCCTCATTGGACGGCGGAGGATAGGGGGGAAGCGCGGGGGTTGGTCCGCCATGGGGGGGAGGCCCGCTGGGGGGGCCTCCGCCAGGCGGTGCGCCAGTTGCGCCGATGGTAGGTTGGCCCATAGAGAAACTAATGTTGGGAAGAACCATCTTTATTCCCGCGTCGTCGGGAGCAGCGTCAGCGCCGGAAGCGGCGGATCCGTCGGGTGCTGTACCGTTAGTGGGGGGAAGCGGGGGACCCTGACCTTGAGCTTGATTGTCCATGGCGTCGGTAATGTGTGCGAGGAAGAGATTATAGAATGGGAGCGCAGCGCCTTAGCATATAAAGGAAACGTTCTACTACTGACCGTTATGTGGCTCAGTGCGGAAAATGTCAGTTTCGGGGAGAAATAAGTTCCTCACCACAAGACAGCCCTTAGAACCGTTACTGGAGCTTTATAGATTGGCTGATTCGTACAGATCATACAATTTTCAAATTTTGCAATGGTGTTTGCAATTTCAAAGTTAATGCGAAACAATTTAACATGTGTGATAAATAGGCTGGAGAAATCAGCATGACCCAAAACCAATTTGTGTCAGGAAATCCAACAGAGGGTTTGAAACTCAAATGATGTAAAACATTATTTACATTTATATACAACATTATTTACAAGTATAGGCATACACCATTACATGTATTCACATATGGTATCATTGTTCCCAAACATAGCCTACCATGTGTCACCGACCCCTCACAATCACACCAGCACGAAGCAACTCCTCCCGCGCCCTTCCCGAAACCTTCCCCACTTCCACCTCCATGTACCGCAATTTAGGGAAGCTTCCAAGGACCCCTCCAATCCCTGCCGCTGTAATCTTTTCACACATGATTGCCTTCAAATTCTTCAGCGTTCCAAGTCTGCTTCCCGCCACCACTACATCTGAAAAGGTGTCATTTTGTTCCACCGTTAGTTCCTCCAACCTGACACAAACAGCAAGTAGTTGGAGCCACTCCTCTTCCTCCAACCCCGAGCAGCACAGCAGGACAAGCCGCTTCAGCTGTCCAAAAACAGCAACTCGAGCAATGGACTGAAAAGACGTTGGCTGGGTGCTTGAGCTTGGGGCAGAAGAGGGGGAGAGGAAGCAGGAGGAGGAAGATGAGTGGCAAGGAGGAGGTGGGGAGGAGAGATACATGCGAGGAGACGTAGAGGGAAGGGTTGGAGGCAGCCATGAGGTGTGGGGAGTGGTAGAGAAAGAAAGCCCTTCAAGGGTTAAGGAATCCAGGCGAGGGCAGAATACTTGCACAGGGACTGCTGACTGACACCATTCATTATGTTCGCCTGATGCCTTTCGGCTGCTTAGTTGTACATCATTTGGTGCCGCCTCTCTCGGTGCCACCTCCCCAGGTGCCATCTCCCCTGGTGCAACCTCCCCAGGCGCCACCTCCCCTGGTGCAACCTCCCCAGGCGCCACCTCCCCAGGTGCAACCTCCCCTGGTGCCAACTCCTCTGGCCCTTCGTCTTCGTGTGTGCTTTCCACCCGTTGTGGTGCCAAGATTTCCCTTTTCACTCCATGCCCTGCTGTTCTTCCTTCTCCTGTTGCGGCTGCCACATGCGCTGCTGCTGCTTCATCCCCTCCAGCTGCTGCTGCTGCTGCTGCTGGAGCTGCTGATACTGCTGCTTCTGCTGCAGTTGCTGCTGCTGCTACTACTTCTGCAACTGCTGCTGCTTCTGATGCTGCGGCTGCTGCTGCTGCTGCTGCTACGGTTGCTACTAACCTAGCTCTTCCTCCTCTTCGTGCCACTACTGTTGCTCCAGCAACTCTTGTTATCCCCGCTGCTGCTCCAACTCCTCCTGCTGCTACCGCACCCATCATTAGTCGCAAGAGGGTGGCTCTCAGAGTAGTGCCGGGTTGGTGCAAGGAACGAAAGATATCATGCACGGCTAAACCTTGTTCCCGCAGCTCGCCCGCCAGTGCCCGCAGCATGCGCACTACATCTTCACGTGCCTCCGCCGCACCGGACCGCACTCGACCCAGCACACTCTCAGGCGAGAAATAATTAAACAGAATGACATCCATGCCCCTAATACTATCCCCGTCCTCCTCCCCATCCATGTCCTCTTCTCCAGAATTTAGCTCTGTAGAAAAGAACCCTGTGGCCTGCCCAGCAGTAATTGCTCTTCTGGATTCACTGGCAGCAGCTGTCTTGGACCCAGCAAAAGCAGCAGCAGAAGCAGCAGAAGAAGCAGCAGCAGCAGCAGCAGCAGCAGCAGGATCAGCAGAAGCAGCAACGAACGCCCTCATCAGCTTCTCCACCCACTCAACAGCCGCATTGGACTCGCGAACCGCCCTGCGAAATGACCGGCACGCCAAAATCCCGAACCTGATCTTCCCGAGGATGACAGCGATGTGAGACTCGAAGCTCTCTCCCTCTACACGCGCCGCCGCCGAGAGGGCTGCAGGACAGGCGGCCTTTGTAGCTTCGTTGGCAGCTTTGAAAAGGAAGATTAAGCCGTTCGCTGCCGCAAGCTTGTCTGCCTCAGCCGCTGCTGCTTCTGTGCGAAAATCTACGTATCTCCAGCAATAGTTGTTGCTCCCGCTACCCGTTCCTGCTGTCATTGCTACCCGTGCTATTCCTGCAGCAGCTGCTGCTGCGGCTGCAAAAACACCTGTATTTCCCTCCTCACATCCTTCTTCTCCACCCCCTCCTCCAGCCTCCCCTCTTGCCCGCCTTCCCGCACACCCCACTTGCTCCACCCGCACCAGCATACTCACAAGGCCGTCCAGAGACACTCCCCTCGGCAATCGCATTTTAAGACAATCGACAGCCCCGACCACACTCAGTGAGCGCAGGGCACTGCAGTCTGCAAGCAAGCCCGGGCGGAGAGATGGGAAGCCGGCGAGGTGGAGGGAGTGGAGCTGGGAGGAGCAGCGAGCGAGCAGGGAGCGGAATCCCTGTGCGGCGAACAGACAGTAATTCGTTCCGTGCAGGGAGAGGGAGGAGAGAGCTGGGTTGGCTTGGAGGGTGGGGATGAGGGAGTAGGAGGAGACGAACGGGCAGGAGTGGATTGCTATGTGAGTGCGTTTGTAGAGGGAACGTGATAGGGAGCGGAGCTCATAACGGTCGATAGAGCAGGAGTGGAGGGAGAGGGAGGAGAGGGAGGGAAAGAAGGTTAGGGGTGCGAAGGAGCATGACAACTGGGCGGAGTAAATGGTGAGGGACGTGAGAGACGTGCGGAGAGAGGATGGGCGGGAGGAAGCAACGGAGGAGGAGGAAGCACAGGAGGAGGGGGAGAAGGCAAGGGAGGAGAGGGAGGAGGATTCAGGGCCCCAGAGGGTGAGGGAGGTGAGGGAGGAGCAGCGGGGAATGGAGAGGTAGTCTGAGGGAACGTAGAGGAGAGAGAGGGACTGCAGTGAGGGGAGGAGGTGCACGGGGGGAAGAGGCGGCTGCTGTGTGTGAGGGGAACGTGAGCGCGCAGAAGGGGAGTTTAGCTCCAATGAAGCCAAGAGCCTGCATGCAGAGGGAAGGGGCGAGAGGGGAGGGGAGGGGAGGGGAGGGGAGGGGAGGGGAGGGGAGGGGAGGCAGGAGAGAGAAGGAGATTGCAGCGCGAGGAGGTAGTGCACGGGGGGAGAGGGAGCTGAGATACTTTGGGTAACGGACGAACGCACGCAGCGCAAGATTAGCTTTATCAACGTCACGAGCCTGCACGAGGGAGGGGCGAGTGGGGAGGGGAGCGGGGCGAAGAGGAAGGGGTGAGGAGGGAGAAAAGGAGGATGCGAGAGGCATGTGGTCGAGGTCTGCGAGGAGAGGGCGCCGAAACATGCAAGATAGAAACGGATGCGGAGGGCGGAGGGGGTGGGGAAGGGGAATGGGGAAAAGGGTGGGGGAGAAAGAGGGAGGTGGGGGAGGGGCTTGGGGAGGGGCTTGGGGGGAGGGGGGGAAGGGGGGAGGTCATTGTAGGGACACCTCGCGGAGTGCAAAGGCTCGTCGAACAGATTTGTTATTAAGGAACGGATGGACGGACGGAGGGGCGGAGGGAGGGACGGAGGGACGGACGGAGGGACGGACGGAGGGACGGACGGAGGGAGGGACGGAGGGAGGGACGGAGGGAGGGACGGACGGACGGAGGAACGGACGGACGGAGGGACGGACGGAGGGACGGACGGACGGAGGGACGGACGGAGGGACGGACGGAGGGACGGACGGACGGAGGGACGGACGGAGGGACGGACGGAGGGACGGATGGTGACGATGCTGGATTGGGCAAAAGGTTCCGAGGGAGAGAAGATGAATGGAACCTTCGACTCACGGGCATCGGTTCGCGAGATTTCGCCACGCTGGACCGTTGACGTCGAAGATATCCCAAGCCGACACCTCCAGCTTCAGTTGTTCCAGTTTCGGGCAGCCCGCTGCGATCCCCGCAATCACCTGGTCCCCGAGAACACTGGTGATCTCCACGGTCAGATCCGTCACGTGGGTAAATACCCCTGAGAAATCCTCGAACTTTTTCAGCCATTCTTGCGGATTCGCAGCCCTTGACCTGGAGTGGAACTCAAGTCGGAGCGCGTGCGGCGTGCGCCGCGAGAGGTGGCGGAGGCGGGAGCAGGAGAGGGCGACGTTGCTGCGATCGGATGGGTGATCCGCGAGGCCGAGAATGATCTTGAGGAGCTCGTCGGGGAGAGATAGCAGCCTGCTATCGTCGGCGCCTTCTCTGTGTTCCGCCATCACAAGCTGACCACGAAAAAGCGAGTCCGGAAGCCTCCAGAAGCTACAGCTGGATAAGGAAAAACGAGAGATTAAAGGAGCCAAATGAGGACCAGAAGCAATAGGAAGCCGATGCAAAAGATCTGCTAAAAGGAATATCGTCGGGAAGACGCCTGGCAAGATTTTGCTGAGAACAGGCGTTTCTTAGAAGAAAGGGTTCATACTTAGCAGATCGGGCAGTTCGAGGCTTGCGGGAAGCCGAAGCCGTCCGTCCTTGGCCTGATGTCAGGGCGAAACTCGACGCACCACCACGGGAAAGCGCTTATGAGGCTGGAAGCTGTTATGATGGGGTTCCGGAATAACCGCTTCGAAGAAAAGCGTTTAAGGGGCTTCAGAAGAAAAGCGCACGTACACCTGCAGGTTCGCGCACACGTGAGAGTGAAGGCTACGACTCAGACGTGAGGATGGGATCGAACGAACGAGATTTCTGTCAAAACGAACTAACCTTCGAGGGAGGACGGCGATCAGCAGGATGATTCTTCTTCTTGTCTTGTGTTCGAAGTCGGGATGACTGCTAGGAGATGATGTTGTTGCTTGATCCTCCGTGGTTGGATCCAGGAGGTAGAAACCGTACCCAACCGATGGGCCTCCTGAACGAGCGGAAGCGAAGCTGCACGACAGCCATGACGGAATCAATGCGGAGCAACAGATGACTGTTTCCACGTCAACCATCAGCTCGCGTGCGCTGGAATGGCCCTGCCTGACGCACTCACTCTCCCTCTCCACAAACTCACGGAAAAACTTTAGTGGCTGCATGGTGAGGGAAGGGGAGTTCTCGAGGTTCTCTGCTTCGGGCTCTGGGACGGACGACGTTCCCAAGAGTCAAGAGTTCCGTGTGTATTTTGGCTTTTGAGGTGACTGAAAACTGGATGGTCGGGGAGTCGAGGGGGAGGGGGGGACTCAGGGGACGGAGGATAGCGCGGCTGCTGCTGAGGGAGGCAGGGACAGCCAGAAAACATCCCCTAACGCGTACGTCCGAGGGGTGTCATGCTTCATCTAATTTTGTTTTCGAGTTCAAGCCGAGAAATCACTAAGTTCTTTGACTAGAGTATACCTCTAAATGGTCATTTGAGGGCTCTGTTTGAAGGGTTGGGGCAATTGTACTTAACTTCACCAATATTTAAAATTATAATTCCTCAGAATAACTTTTCTTTATGCATCTTTGTGTAGACAAGTTTTTTTGCTTGCCTCCAACTGAACGAATATAATATATCTTCCAGATCCACATTTGCATCAACATTTGTTCTCGAGGCAGCATCTCACACACACCTCACAACCACACCAGCGCGAAGCAGCTCCCTCCTAGCCCTTACCTGAACTTTCCCAACTTCCACCTTCAAATACCGCAACCTGGGAAAGCTTCCAAGAACCTCTCCAATGCCTGCTGCAGTGATCTTAGGACACCCGAGCACAGTCAAACTAGTGAGCATACTCAGTCTGCTTCCCGCCATTACTGCATCTGAAAACTTGTCGTTTTGCTGCACCTTTAGCTCCTCCAACTTAACACGAGCAGTGAGTAGTTTCAGCCATTCCTGCTCCTCCAACCCTAGATAGCACACCAAGGAGAGGCGCTTCAGCTGTCCAAAAACAGCCGCTCGAGCAATGGAGTGAAAGGACATTGCCTGAATGCTTGGGCTTCGGGCAGCGGAGTCAGAGGAAGGGGAGAGGCAAGAGGAGTTGGAGGAGGACGATGTGTGGAAAGAGGAAGGCGGGGGGGAGGAGAGATACATGAGAGGAGGCGCAGAGGGAAGGGTTGGTGGCAGCCAGGTGTGGGGAGTGGTGGAGAAGTAGAGCACTTCGAGGGATAAGGACTCCAGGCGAGGGCAGAACACTTGCACAGGGACTGCTGACTGGCACCCTTCAGAGCGCTTGCTTGTTGACCTTCTGCTGCCTGACTGCTTTCCATCCCCTGGTGGTGCTGCCTCCCCTGGTGATGCCTCCCCTGGTGCTGCCTCCACTGCTGCTGCCTCCCCTGGTGCTGCCTCCCCTGGTGCTGCTGCCTCCCCTAGTGCTGCTGCCTCCCCTGGTGCTGCCTCCACTGTTCCTGCTGCTGCATCTCCCGCTGCTGCTCCTGCTGCTGCATCTCCCGCTGCTGCTCCTGCTGCTGCTGCATCCGCCACTGGTGGCGCCAGCGTGGCTCTCGGAGCTCTGTTGAGTTGGCGCAAGGACTGGAAACTGGCGGACATGGCAGCAAACTGCTCCTCCAGTTCCTCCAGAAGCTCCCGCTGCCTACCCAATCCCTCTTCACGTGTCTCCACCGCACTGGACCACACCCCACCCAGCACACCCTCAGGCAGGCCATCATCAGGCAGCATGCCATCCATGCCCCTGATGTCATCTCCTTCTTCCGCCTCCCCATCCCCGTCCTCTTCTCCACCATTCAGCTCCGTAGCAAAGAACCCTGCCACATGGTCAGCAGCCGTCTCTATATTGGAGTCAGCAGCAGCGCCATCTATATTCAAATCAGCAGCAGCAGCAGCAGCATCTGTATTGGAATCAGCAGCAGCATTTGTATTGAATGCCCTCATCAGCTTTTCCTCCCATTCAACAGCCGCATTGGACGCCCGGATCCCAGCAGAGAAGGACCGGCACGCCGAAATCCCGGACCTGATCTTCCCGAGGCTGGCGGCGATCCGAGGCACGGCGTTCTCGCCAACAATGAAGGCCGCCCAGTGCGCGTCGTAACGGGCGGCCTTTGCGGCTTCGTCGGCTGCTTTGAAGAGATCGACCACGTCAGTCGCTGCTGCGATTTTGTCCGCCTGAGCCGCCGCTGCCTCTGTGCAAAAATCCACATATTTCCTGCAGCGCTTGCTGCTCCCACTACCTGTTGCGGCAGCTGCAGCTGCAGAAACACCTGCATGTCCATTCTCCCACCCTTCCGCTCCACTCTCTCCTCCTGCCTCCCCTCCTGGCCGCCCTCCCGCAACCCCCGTCTGCTCCACGCGTACCAGCATAGCCACGAGGCAGTCCAGAGACACATTGTTCGGCAGTAGACTCTCCTTAGACTCTATCACCCCCTCCACGCTCAGTGAGCTCAGACCCCTGCAGTCTGCAAGCAAGCCCGGGCGGAAGCAGGGTAGACCAGCGAGGTGGAGGGAGCGGAGCTGGGAGGAGCAGCGAGAGAGGAGAGAACGGAAGCCCTGTGCTCTAAACAAACGGTAGGTTGTTCCGTGGAGGGAGAGGGAGGAGAGAGAAGGATTGGCTTGGAGGATTGGGGCGAGGGAATCGGAGGAAATGAGTGGGGAGGAGTGGATTGTGAGGTGGGTGAGGGAGTGGAGGGAGCGTGAGAGGGAGCGGAGCTCGTATGGGTCGATGGTGCAGGAGTGGAGGGAGAGGGAGGTGAGGGAGGGGAAGAAGGCGAGGGAAGGCAGGGAGCCCTGCAAATCGGCGGAGTGGATGGTGAGAGATGTGAGAGTCGTGCGGAGAGGGGATGGGGGGGAGGACGCGAGCGGGGAGGGGGGAGTGGCGGAGGAAAGTGAGGAGAAGGAAGCACGGGAAGAACGGGATGAGGAGGAGGAGACAAGGGAGGAGGAGGAGAATGCAAGGGAGGAAAGATCGGAAGAATCAGGGGCGCAGAGGGTGAGAGAGGTGAGGGAGGAGCAGCGGGTAATGGGGAGTAAGTCCGAGGGAACGTAGAGGAGCGTGAGGGACTGGAGCGAGGGGAGGAGGTGCACGGGAGGGAGTGGCGGCTGCCGTGTGTAAGAGAGACGCGAGCGCGCACGGCGCGAGTTTAGCTCGAGGGAGGTCAAAAGCCTGAACCAAGGGGAAGGGGCGGGGGTCGAGGGGTTGAGAAGGAGGTTTGTGAAGGGAGGGTTGAAGAGGGAGGCGTGAAGAGGGAGGGGTGAAGAGGATGAGGTGAAGAGAATGAGGCGAACTCTTCTTCTTAAAATTCACGGAAGATAGGGATCGATGGACGGACGGACGGACGGACGGACGGACGGACGGACGGATGGACGGAAAGATTGCACGCGTGCATGCATGATGGATGGATGGATGTGGATACGGAAAACGACTACTTACGGGCAATGCTTCGCGAGCTTTCGCCACACTCGACCGTTGACGTTGAAGCCAGTCCAACCCGTCTCTAATTTCAGTTTTTCCAATTTCGGGCAGCCCGCTGCGACCCCCGCCATCAGCTGATTCCCGAGCCCGGATGAAATCTCCAATGTCAGATCCGTTATGTGGGTAAATACCCTTGAATAATCGTCAAGCGCTTTCAGCCACTGTCGCAGATTCACAAATCTTCGGCACGAGAAGTAGTCGAGGCGGAGCGCGTGCGGCGTGCGCCGAGAGAGGCGGCGGAGGCGGGAACAGGAGAGCGCGACGCTGCAGCGATCGGATGGGTGATCGGCGAGGCCGAGAATGATTTGCAGGAGCTCGTCGGGGAGCGATAGCAGCCTGCTGTTGCCGGCGCGATCGCTTTTTTTCGTCATCTCGAGCTGAACGTTTACTTGGCTAATTGCCTCCTGTGAAGTCAAACTACTCCAGCTGGAAATGTATGTAACCTCGGAAGGCGTCTTAGTGACACGTCTAATACAGCGATCAGATGACCTAAGAGACTGAAAAGAATTTGCAATAACTCCTCGGGGCGAGAGAGAACAGTCAAAAGAGTAGCTCAAGAGTCGAGCAGTTGCGAGACGACAGACACCATGGCGATGAGTACTTCTGTGACGGGAGGTGGACCGAATATCACCATTGAGGGATGGCGACGACGGGTTTGTGATGTGTGAGAGCTTTGCACGCACCCTAGACTAGACGGGTGTATGATGGATGTGCGTCTCTTTTGGTTGCCTTGAGATGCGCGTCTTGCGGTTTGTGATGCGTTGTGCAGTTCTCGAGTTTCCAAATGAAAGTTTCGCCAGCAGAGGATGGGAAGCTGGAACACGCTCGCTGTTTGGCGGAACTGTAGCGCTGTGAATTCAAACCGAACCGAACCGAGGGTTGTCTATCTTGAACCGAAACCAAACGAAACCATCAAGCCACAAGATGTCAGTTCGGTTCACCACAGTGAAAACATCTGGAACTCTACGAAAGCGTAAAGAACCAGATTTCACATTTCTGTGCCATAAGGTACCCATCCCCAACCCACCCAACCACTTACCGCCCTGTACCCCTTCACGAGATCGGTGATCGTCTGCGATCATGGAGAATCTGTCGCTCGCAACGGAAGTCGGACTAGACCCGAAACGAAACGTCTGGTTGGTGTCGCCGCGTCGCAAATCTGATGTCAGCGACGCACGACGGCTACGTGCGGAGGAATGGGTCAGCTTTTAGAGGGTACGACAGTTATGATTTCTGATTTAAGATAGTTTTCCCGGAGAACGTCATGGTTTCTGATTTATCAGCAGCAACCATATTTCTGACACCACTGGTATGGTCTGCCAGAAATGCTCGTTGCTCCGTTACGGAACAGCTACCCTTAGGCTGTACTGAGCGTATACATTTACAACGGTGTTTGGAAACTCGAGTTTAAGCAAATCTCGCATGTGAGGAACTGTACGACGAGATGTAACGGATCCACTAACAAAAAGGGCATTTACCCATGTAATAATAGGTTTTTAAGACAAACAGAGAGTAGCAGCTCCTGGAAATTACTAAGTCTGGGAAGTGCTAGGAGATGCAGTCACAAACTGTGGAGGATGAGTTGGAGAAGAGAATCCTATTTCCCAATTGATTAGTTGGGGATAGGAAGTGAAGAATGAACCAGAAGGCTCAGACCCCTTCCCTAGACCCCCTTGGGATGCAGCCACCTTCCCCATGGCAAGGAGGGGTGCACTCCCTTGGGCCTTGCCCATGTGGCAACAAACAAGGTTCTCAACCAATTATATTTTAGATAGCAAGGATAGGAAATGCACAGCAATCACAAACCTGTGTTTGATGTATATTGGTTGTGTTAGAAGTGAGCGGCGGAAATGTTGTCGACTCACTCTTGGGGCTGTGTTATGATTGGTCGAATTAGGTCTGAGTTGCACTTACGTGGGTTGTGTTTGATCCAACTTGAACCAATTACGTGGGTTCAATTCCGCAACAATTTCGATTGGTTGGTTTCCCAATCAATCCACAATTCCCCGCAAGTCTCGCTTCTCTTCTATTCTCAACCAATCAGATTTCCCCCCAAATCCCCCTCACAGCTGGTTCGACGTATCGAGACCAGGTGGGGGTTGGGTCCGAATGTTACACGAGAAGTAGACCAGCGAATGCAGTGACCCAATACCAACCTGTGTCATGCAAACTCGGGGTTGTCGCTCAAAATGGGGAAGGCAAAATTTCTCTCCTTCGACCCACTGTTGGGAAAATTTGCTGACCAAGCCAACGAGAGTAAGACCACGTCAAGCTAGGGCAAAGTCGCAGTAAAATCTATGGTCGTCATTAAAACCACGCGCTACGAGGCAACTCCCCAGCATGCCGTCAGTTCCCCCCCTGCATTCCGGTATGCCGTTAGTTCCCCCCCTGCATTCCGGCATGCCGTCAGTTTCCCCCCTGTATGCCGTCAGTTTCCCCCAGCATGCCCTCAGGTTCTCCCCTGCTTTTCCTCATCCTCTCCCCTGCCAGCCCTCAGGTTCTCCCCTGCCTGCCCTCATTCTCCCCCTGCCAGCCCTCAGGTTCTCCCCTGCCTGCCCTCATTCTCCCCCTGCCAGCCCTCAGGTTCTCCCCTGCTTGCCCTCATTCTCCCCCCAGTGCCCCACCCCTGCTTCCAACCTTCCTCCCCCTGTTTAACCTATGCTTCCCCTTTGCTTACTTTCTTTGCCCTCATTCTTTGTACTCTCTCCCCTTTTTTTTGCCCTCCGTCCTCCCCTTTTCCTGTGCCACCGCCCTGCTTCCCCACTTTCCACCCCTCCTTTTCCACCCCTTCCTACCTTATGTCACCCCACCTGCTTGCAATCGTCCCACCCACCCTGCCTATCCTCGTCTTTCCCAACCCTTTTCCTCTTTCCCCCCTCCCTCACCACAACTTCTTATACGGTACGTTGTCCCCCCATGTTTCCAAATCAGCTGTACTCAATGTCTTCTCTTTCCAGCCACATCAGCTTAGCAGGGTAGACACAGGAGAATGGTAGAGCGGGGTTGGAGGAAAAGGGGGAGGAGTGGTAGGGCGGGGGGAGGGGGAGGGGAAGGGGAGGAGTGGTAGAGGAGGAGGAGTGGGGGGAAGAAGGGGGAAGAAGGGGGAAGAAGGGGGAAGAAGGGGGAAGAAGGGGGAAGAAGGGGGAAGAAGGGGGAAGAAGGGGGAAGAAGGGGGAAGAAGGGGGGAAGAAGGGGGGAGAAGGGGGGAGAAGGGGGGAGAAGGGGGGAGAAGGGGGGAGAAGGGGGGAGAAGGGGGGAGAAGGGGGGAGAAGGGGGGAGAAGGGGGGAGAAGGGGGGAGAAGGGGGAAGAAGGGGGGAGAAGGGGGAAGAAGGGGGAAGAAGGGGGAAGGAGTGGTAGAGGATGGCGGTGGTGGCACTGTAGGCAGTGGTCGTGCCGCTGTAGGCGTTTCTGCTGCGATTCGAGGGGCTGGTGACCCAGTGGGAGAAGGGATGGGAAGACGCTCCCTCCCCACCCTCATTACCTTCCCTTCCCCCCTGCTGGCCCTCCCTTCCCTTCCTGCTTACCCACTGTTTCCATTCTTCCCGTCCGTTTTTTCCCACCACTGCACTTCACAGCATGGAGCAACCATGAACTAGTCGGTCTCACATTATGCTTGTCCCCTCACTGTGTTGCCTTTGTGCCTCAACACACTCTTGCACCTGGGCCTCCCTTTTTTTCACCTGACTCGCCCGTCCCTGGCTTTGTCATGCTTGTAGCAGGAACAGGGAAGCGGCACACATACACGGTGCTGAGTCGCATGATACACTAGGGAGGGGAAATTGAAGGAAGGAGAGAGGGAAAGCAGGAAGGTAGGGAGAGGAGACGGGGAAGTAGGGAGAGGCGATGGGAAAGGAAAGGAAGGGAGAGGCGGTTGGTGCTTTTCACAAGAGGCTTTTCTTGACGTGGGCTTTGGGAAAATTGGAATGGGCATTGGAAGAGGCTCAAAAGTGGCTAAGATATTCGGATTACTACAGTATTTGGAGCTCTCTCGACCCTGCAACAGCACATTTCACAACACCTTAGATATTATTTACATGATAAAAGTGAATGGTGGTAATTGTTCCCAACTTTGATACACAAACACCTGTGTCACGGATGTCACACTCACACCCCTCTCACAGTCACTCCAGCACGGAGCAATTCTCTCCGAGCCCTTGCCGAAACCTTCCCCACGTCTACCTTCAAGTACTGCAGCCTAGGGAAGCTTCCAAGAACATCTCCAATGCCGCTTGCCGTAATCTTAACACACTCGAGCAGCGTCAGACTAGCGAGCTTTTTGAGTCTGCTTCCCACCACCACTGCATCTGAAAATTCGCTATTTTGCACGACCCTTAGCTCCTCCAATTTGAAGCACGCTCCGAGGAGTTCCAGCCAGTCCTGCTCCTTCAACCCCACGCAGCACACCAGGGCGAGCAGCTTGAGGTGCCTGAAGGCTGCAGCTCGGGCAAGAGACTCAAAGGACATTGGGTGGTAGCCTGGGCATAGGGCAGAGGAGGAGCGGGAAGATGTGGAGGCGAGGGAAGAGGTGGAAGCGAGGGAAGAGGTGGAGGCGAGGGAAGAGGAGGAGGATGAGTGACATGAAGAGGACGGTGGTGAGGCGGGGGAGAAGGAGAGGTACATGCGAGGAGAAGCTGAAGAAAGGGAGGGAGGCAGCCAGGGGACAAGGGGCGGGGAGGCGAAGCGGAGGGATCGGAGGGTCAGAGACTCCAGAGGAGGGCAGTAAACTTGCACGGGGACTGCTGCTGCTGCTTTGCTCCCTTCAGAATGCTTGAAGCTTGACTTTCCGCTGCTTAGTTTTGCATCCCCTGCTGGCGCTCTCCCTGCTGCCCCCACTCCCAGCCCTCTGTCTTCTGGCGTGCTTTCCACCCGCTGCGATGCTACTGCCATCCCTCCTCTCACTCCTGGCACTGCTGCTGCTTCCCCTGCTGCCGCCTCTCCTGCTGCCCCCTCTCCTCCCAGCTCTCTGTCTTCTGGCGTGCTTTCCACCCGCTGCGATGCTTCCGCCTCCCCTCCTCTCACTCCTGAAACTGCTGCTATTCCCTCACGCACTGCTGCCCCCGCATGAGGAGCTGCTGCTCCATCTGCTCCTCCTCCTGCTGCTGCTGAATCTCCTCCTCCTGCTGCTGCCCCACCTCCTGCTGCTGCTGCATCTCCTCCTCCTGATGTTGATGCCCCACCTACTGCTGCTGCTGCATCCACCACTGGCCGAGCAACAGTGGGGGTGAGAGGGCGCAAGGAGTCGAAGCTCGCAGACACGGCGTCAGTGTGCTCCCCCAGCTCCTCCATCAGCTCCTGCAGCCTCTCCACCCCCTCTGCACGCGTCTCCACCGCATCAGACCGCACCCCACCCAGCACACTCTCAGGTGGGCC